CAACATGGGACGTCTCATTCTATCTTCGGCTATGCAGTAAAGGACTTGCCAGCACCCTCCTCCAGGTAGGCCACTGCTCGCTAATCTCCCATGGGTGTGAAGCACAGAGACCACGTCAAAGATAAACAGGTTGCTTACCTGTAACTGATGATCTTCGAGTGGTCATCTGTGCATTCACACCACCCGCCCTCCTTCCCCGCTGCTGTCAGATTCTACATTGTCCATAGGGGTTGATTTGCGATGTTTGAAGGAACTGGCGAGATGTCCGCGCCCACCCCTCTGGGCATGCGTGGTGGGGTTCCTGCGCATGCCCAAGGGACTGGGCGCGAAAATCCGTTAAAGAGCTTGCTACATTGCCGATCGATCCAGTGTGTGCGCACTAGATCCCATGGGTGTGAATGCACAGATGACCACGTCGAAGATAATCAGTTACAGGTAAGCAACCTGTTTATCTGCAGAGTGATCCAGTCCCTCTCATGCACTGTGGTGCACAAGATTGTCGAGCTGTGATCTACCATTAAGTAGACCTGTAACCTGCAGTGAATCCTGCATAACGTGGGGAAACCTTTTCCTTTTAATTTTTCCAGCAAACATTTATTTGGGACACTACTGCTGGTGTGCATGCAAGTAACAGAACTAACAGTCACTCTTCAAATGTTCATTTATGCATTCACATATGATGTTTGTGTGTCTTCCTGTTTCCTTTCAGGTGTGCCATATAGTCTTAGGGTTAAGGCCCGCCACTCCAGAAGAGGAAGGCCAAATAATTAGGTATGGTAACCTAAAACTCTTCAGTGATTACACTTTTTCCCCCCCTGGTGACTTTTCCCTGGCTTTGGAAAGGATGCCCTGCTTTAGAGCAGGATGTTAGATTGGGTCATCTCAGGCATTTTCCTTTTTGCAAATAAGACCTGTGCGTTACTAGTTCACAAATACTTTTGCTGTGTCTAAGGGGGCAGGGGGAACCAGCCTTGTCTCGTCTACAAAAGCTTCACTTTTCTGGTAACCCGGGAGCAACACACACACACACACACACACACACACACACACACACTCACACCAGTAAGTTACTGTTTACAGGCTTATGTGACTATGCTGTGTTGGGGGGTTGGGAGCCACCTGTCTTGGCCAGTGGTCCATATGAGTTTACTTACAGTTCTGTGATCTATATCCTGGCTTGCTCAAAGCACTTTTAAAAGTATGTGAATTGGGAGGAGGTTGAGTAAGATCATTCAGTCCCATCTTGACATCTGTGGCTGTCTGCCCTTCTACTCACTTAATGGGTATCCTCAGAGCACCTTGCAGCAGTTTTTCCAAATGCTTTCAGAGGACTGACTGTGGGGGTGGGGGTGGGGATGGTTGGCATGCCCTTGCTTAGCAGCTACAGATGTGGATGATGACACAGGAGCCCCGAGTGTGTCTGAAGTGTAAAAAGAGAGGTGCTTGGGTGGGGTCAGTCCGAGGCTGTGCTGGGGGTCTGGTTTGCACATGCAGGAGACTGAAGTGGGAGACCCCTGAGGCAGAAGAATGGACGTGCCCAGCTTGAGACTGCGGGTGGACAATCACCCACTAAAATGCTCCCATGGGCTTAAAAAGCAGACCTTCGGTAGAAAACCAACACCACGAGCCACGGGGCAAGGAGTAGAACCTTTCTCCATGGGGTGCTAGTTTTTGGTGTTTGTGGAGTATTTCATGCAAAGAAACCATTCAAAGCTGGAATCCGTCGCCCTCCGTCTCAGATGGTGCAGGCCATCCGACCGCCTCTGCTGCCTGATTCCCCCGCATGGACCTAACTGGATTCCCCTGTGAACCTGATTCCCCTGTGAACCTAACTGGAAGGCGCAGGACACGCCTTTTATGAATATGACCTTTCATTGGATGTTTTCTTTCTCCTTGGCTCAGGGGCTGGTTAGAACGAGAGAGCCGGTATGGTCTCCAGCCAGGGCACAACTGGTTTCTGATTGCATCGCAGTGGTGGCAGCAGTGGAAGGAATATGTCAAATACGTAAGTCATGTTGAAGGTTGGGCGGTGGTGGTATTGAACTGCTAACCTGATGAGTGAATAATGAAAGGGCTGCCGATTAAGGTGCCTTCGCCTCTTTTAGGACTGGTGGTCTTCAACTTTTCTAGTCCCGGGATCCCTCTCCTGCTGCCAGGTGACAGCATGGGACCCAGTAGGCTGCAACCCATGTGACAAGAAGAGACGGAGCCAGAGTGTTGGCCTCAAGGCAGCCCAGAAGAGGCCGGGTACAGGAATCACAAGCCTCCAGCACCAGGAAGTGTACCGTAGGAAGTCACAAGCTAATTAGACATGGAGAAATCTTTGTCACTGCTGAGTGGCTGTGCCTGGTTGTCCCACTGCCCACTCAGCTTGCATGCCAAGCAAGGCAGGAGGTGTGGTGTCATCCCACTCTACGCTTGCTTACGGCCGGCAGATCTTCCCCAAAGCCACAAAAGAGGTGTATCTATACGGGCTCATGATGCAGCCCCACGCCCTACCCGTGGGTTGCAGGCCACTGCATTAGGGGAAGGCGGCTCTTTTCCAAAGGGGGGGGGCAGTAATCAGATTCTGTCTCTGCAGTCCCGTGAAGCTCATGTGTGCTTTTCTAGGTGCCATCTTTCCTGAGCTTTTTGGGCTGCTTCTTCCTTCACTCTGCCCCACCTGATCTCTTTGGATGGGGGACCACTCTTTCACTTCTCAGCCCCCTTCCGCTTGGGCTCAGCTGGTAGTTCTGGGTAGGGTTTTATATCACAGGCCGTGAAATCTATCACTTTTTGAAACCAAAGTTGGAGAGAGGGAGGGAAGAAGGGAAGAAGGGAACAGTGATGTCTTGTGTCTGCATGCATTTAAATGCCAATGCTGGAACATAACCAATAAGTGCACATATTTTCGGCAAGCCTATTGTGCATTTGGTAGGGTTTGTCAGAGTGGTAAGGCATCTGTTGTGTGGTGTGTGAGAATATTGATGCATCCCCAATGTTCCCTCTAAGCTCCCTCTAAGCTGTGGAGTCTTGTGAGCAAAAATTCTACTTTGTGAGCTGCTGGCATTAAAACTGTGAGCGAGCGATTTGGCAACCATATAAATTGGTTTGCTCTGGAGCTGTTCTTCCTGAGCTAAGACAAAAATGTGTGAGCTGGAGGCTAGAAAACTGTGAGCTAGTTCACACTAACTCAGCTTAGAGGGAACACTGAGTTTGTTTTGTAAAGATGTCAAGCTTCTAGCCCTCAGGACCGCAGATAGCTTAAGAAGAAGGGTGTGTAGTGAAGCACGCACAAGACCGCTAGCTCCGTCTCCAACATTTCCACTTAAAGTTATCCTAAAGTAGCACATGAATGTATGAAGCTGCCTCACCCAGAGTCCCACCATTAGTGCATGTAGCCCAGCATTGACTTCTTTGACTGACAGTGGATTTTCACAGTTGCAAGCGGAGGCCTTTCCCAGCACTGCTAAGCACTGCCTCTTGGGTTCTCTTTAATCCCAGACTTTAAAGATTGGCATCAGGGACCTTCTGCCTGCAAGGCACGTGGCCTGCCCCACTGAGCTCATCATCCCTCATTACCTGCAGGGGAGCCAGTGATGGGGGCAAAGTCACAGAGAGCATCTTAAGGCCCAGTCCTAAGAAGGGTGGGCTCTATGCCTGGGGCTTGTCGCCCGGATCCCGTGAGAATCAGTTGGCTGGAACTCAACCGGCCCAGAATTGTTTCCTTTTATTTTTGTTTTGTTGCAATTTGGGACCTTTTCCTGTCTGAAAGCCGATTTATCCCCTCCAGGGACTAAAAAAAGCTTACATTTTAAAAAGTCACGGTATGGTAGGAAGCAGAGACAAACCCCCCCCCCCCCCTTTGGAAGGCAGGGATCTAAGTATGCAGCAAAGGATCAGGACCCTGGACAGATCACAGTGGAGCCGGCTGCAGGGTACTTCAGGGGATGTCCCAGCCTGGACAGAAACCTTGGGGGCGGGGGGGGGGGAATTGAATCATTGCTCCGCAGAAGCCTTAAGCCCAGCTCGGCAGAGGGGATCAGCTTTTAGACTGTAGCTCTGGCATGTGCCCTCCAGCGGCGCTGTTAAGCCTCCTGACAAAAGGGGATTAGACAGATTCATGGAGGGTAGACAGGTCTATAGGTAGCTACTTGCCATGGTGAGTTAAGGGAACCTCCACGTTCAGAGGCAGTAAACTTCTGAATCCCAGTGCCAGGAGGCAACTTTAGGGGAAGGCCTCGGCCTCTGTGCCCTGTTGTTGGGCCTCCAGAGGAACTGGTTGGCCACTGTGTGTGAGACAGGATGGTGGACTGACTGGACCACAGGTCTGATCCAGCAGGGCTCTTCTTGTCTTTGTAAAACCACCAGAACTGGTGGGATGCCAGGAGCTGTGGGAGTGTCCGTGGGTATTGAGGACCTCAGCAGAGATGTTCTTGGGAAGCGTGACTTTTGGCAGACTCTTCTTTGTTGGTGGAGGTCTCTTCAGGGGAAGGTTCTACAGAAAGAGAAAGAGGGTCTCCAGCAGTTCTGTTGTCCTTGGTGTCTCTGGGTTCCTCCTGAGGCAGGTGCCATGATAGCAGGGGCGGGAACTGTTCCCCTATCTGGCCGCTTCACGATTTTGCCTCTTCCCCACTTCCATGATCATGAGAGCTGACAACTTGATTTTTTTCTCCTTGGGAATTAGAAACAACATTCTCGAGAATCTGAAGGAAATACCAGTAGCCGTCTTCAACAATAAGATGTTGTAATTTTGGAACTAAGGCTTCCTCATTCCCTAACGGAATATGCTTATAGATATGAGACCTTAACTTTAGCACATTTCTGGCCTGTAGTTCACTTTTGTTTCCCTCCCCCTGTCTCTCTCTCTCTCTCTGTGCCAATTGCAGGAAGCAAACCCTGTGGTGGTAGTGCCCTCATCCGTCTTAAACGGAGGTAAGACTTTGCTCCTGTCTCCTGCACCCCATGCGCCAGAGCAGGGAGAAGAGAAAACAGGCAGTGTAAATCGTTTCAGTGCCACAGAAGAAAAGTGTTCAGATAACATTTCCACTGCATCAGAAGCCTCAGAGATCGCTAGCAGCAGTAAGCATTTAAAAAAATATATGTTTTGAACTAGGTTTAAAGAGAGCCCACGTGCTGTAGGAGTTAGACAGCCGGGACTTGGATCCGGGAGACTTTGGTTCCAATCTCTGCTCTTCCATGAAGCTCACCGGGTGGACTTTCTCAACTGAAGCTACCTCGCAAGGTAGTTGTGAGGATCAAGTGGGGAAGGGGGAGCCACAGACTCTGCCCTGAGCTGCATGGAAGGAAGGGGGGGATGTGGCTGTGAGAGGGAAATCTCCTGTCTTGGGAGCTCCCTGACCGAGCAGGAAGCCAAATTTGTTCAGAATAAAAGCTTTGAGAGAGGCCTGCGAAGCAACAGGAGAATACTTTCTTAGGTGTAAAGGGTCTGGCGGCCAACCGCATTTTCATGTGCTCTAACGTTCCCTTGCAGTCTGGTATTGCTCCAAGGATTTGAAACTAGGGCAAAACTACACAGATAATGGGGTGTGACTGTGCAAAGAGTATTGCTTCATCCTCATCAGCACCTGTGGGGAGTTTGTGGGCCAGAGCGGGGGTGTATCCATGTGTTTGCCTGAATGAGCTGGTGGAAGGGGTTCCGTTGGTGATGGAAGAGCGCCTCTTCTGGATGCTGCCCCTGAGATTTATACCTGTTTATTTAAAAATTCATTCACTGCCTTTCTCCTTTGTGGAATTCAAGGCTTTCAATGTAAATTAAGTGATTATTTAAAAACACTAAAAACAATACAAGTAAAGCGACAATTGTAAAGACATATAAAAGGTCATGATTTAAAAACTCCCGTTAGGACTACCCATAAATAGCAGTGGAAACAATCAAATGCAGTCTTAAATAAAACCATCTCCAGCTGCCGCCTGAAGATCAGCCGTGAGGGGGCCAGGCACGCTTCCCTGGGAAGGGAGGTCCTTAGTCGGGGGACTGCTGCTGCTGCTGCTGGAAAGTCCGTCTCACGTGCCTGCCAGAGGAGAGCCTTTGACTGACGGGACGGTCAGGAAGGCCTCTCCCTGTGATCGTAATCCACGGGCCAGGACGTACAGGAGAAGGCAGTCCTTCAGGTCTGTAGGGCTCTAGAGGCAGAAAACGCCTGCATGTCAAGGGAAGAGATGGCAGCCCCAGCCCCTTTCCCTGCTGCACTCAGTTTTCTAACTGCAGTGACTTCTTCACATAGGGGAACATGTTACTTCACCCTCTGTCTAAAGTGGTTGGGGGGTGGGGGGGGTCCATTCTACCGCCTCTGCCACATGCAGAGGCTGAATCTGGGAGTGCAAGAAAAGGGAGCAGAGCCTGCATCTTGGCCCAAACCCAGGAGGATCTGTTAGGCCCCAGGGCAGGCTCCTGCTGAGTACCACGTCCTCCCCTCCTTTTACTTCCTCTCAGATGAACTGTTGCCTTTCATTCTGTGGCAAAACAGCGAACCTGTGCACCCCTTAGGGGGTAAGCTTGCTGCGTGGGGTGGGGACATCAGCACCAGCTGGCTGTCTGGCCTGATGGGGGACCTCCACCAGCAGCAATAGGCAGAGACCGTCCCTCTGCACGCCGTCCACCCAGCACGACAGCAAGCATTTAGCTGGTTTGGAATTAGCCTCGTATTTTTTTCTGTACGTACGAATCAGGGGTCTTCAACCTTTTCTGAGCCTGCAGGCACCTTTGCAATTCTGACAGAGCCTGATGGGCACAGCCACAAAACGGCTGCCACAGGTGGCTGAGCCAGGCACAAAATGGCTGCCACAGCTTAGCTTCAGTCACACATTGAAGATCCTCGTGCTGTGGGGGCAGCAAAAAAACCAAACACCTGTGCAGCCAATCAAGTCTCCTGTGGCCAATCAGAAGCCTTGCTGGGCGGAAGCCCCTCCTGGCCCCTCCCACTTTCTAAAAACACTTGACTGGAGCCAGAGTGCCCACAGGGGATCCCTGGTGTAGAGTACGGATGAACAGTGGGCATCAGTGGTGTGGATTGCTGTTCTCTGAGAGTCCCCAGCCTTTCTTTTACTTAAAAAGGCATTTCCAGCCTTCTCATGGGTGAGGTCGCTTCGAAAAGAGGGGCAAAGTATTTGCAGATTCCCTTCATACCCCAGCCCTGCAAGGTCCTCTTCCCTTGAGCGATCCATCTTAGCACGATTCCTTTGAAGAGAATCTAATTACCTCTTTTGGAGCTGTACCCTTTCAGGAACGAGATAAAATGTTAGCCAGTCTACAGGTCTAAGTGATATAAAAAAAATATTCAGTCACCTGGAGTAAATTTGCTGAGCCTGCCCATACAAAAGACCTACTACCGTCCGAGGATGAACCTTTGATGAACCACTCCGAAACAGCATGACTTTTAACAGCACCAGCACTGAAAGGGAATGGTAACTTGAGCCCATTTGGACAATATTGTTTAAGGAAGCGGGCCACGATCCCTCAGTCTTGATCTAAGGCCTGTGGGCAGGATCCCGATGTTGTTATTCCATTTGAGAAGGAGACTGATTGACTGAATGTCAGCCAGGATTATTAGAATGCTCAAATCAGTCCGTTTTTTTTTTTCTACTCACCATTTTAAAGGGGGTCAACTGTAGCTTCAATCTTAGCTTCTTAGAAATGTCTAAGTGAAATGGAAATGTTCTCTGTTGCTAGCACCTGTGTTTCCACCCCATCTCTCTCTCTCTCTCTCTCTCTTTCTTTTTCAGGTGTCCTTTATGGCTCCACATCCAGCAATGAAATGTGTTTTCCTCGGCAACTGAACACTTCAGACAATAACAATCAGTGCCTGCTTGGATCCAGTGGGAACATGTTAGCCCAACTAAATCCCCAGCCGCCTGGAGCTATCGATAACCTGCCTCTTGTAACTCAAGAGCCCATGAAGGTAAACTTGTAGCCCCAAATAGGAATTTATAGGGCGGGCGGGGGGGAACCCTTCCACTTGATGCAATCTTGTGGTAATTCAATATTATTGACCCTTGGTGTGATTTAGCATCATGGAACTTTGGGGTGGGGGTGTGTGTGCCTTTGCACAAGGTTTTGTTTGTATTGGTCAATAGTGTCAGTGTGTAACTGGCTTTAACATGTGTCCGAGTTCTTTGGGGCAAACCACGTTCAAGCCTGGCACAAGTCTGGCTTACTTTGCTGGCTCTGATACCTGGAACGTCCTCCCAGAGCAAATTTGTGGTCTCCCACTTCTCTTAACCCGTCCTCCAAACCCATTTTGGTGATGGTGGAAAGGGCCAGGAAGTCACCGTGGATTTCTGGTGACCCTGTTGGGTTTTCAAGGCAAGAGACCTTCAGAGGCGGTTTGCCACTGCCTGTCTCTGCACAGCAACCCTGGACTTCCCTGGTGGTTTCCCATCTGAGTACTAACCAGGGTCAATCCTGCTTAGCTTCCACAATTTGACAAGATCAGGCTAGCCTGGGCCATCCAGGTCAGGACCAAACGTACCTTAGACTAACCCAGAAGCTTGCCAGAATTAGGCAAGATTTCCCTGCCCTCTAAAGGCTGCAGAGCTGGGGACAATTTGACCTTGCAAAAAAGGGCAATTGGTCATCTCCATCAGCAATGATGCCAGTTCCAATAATATTTTTTACTCCAGTGCTCCTGTCATTTCAGCTTTGGCAGTTTTTGGTACTTCCAGGATCTGAACTTCCTTTTTTCTTCCTTTTTAAAGGCTCCGTCGTTGACTTTGGAAGGTGGTCGACTAAGGCAGTCCCCCCAGTTAGTTAAAGGGAAGCATTACGAAATTGTCCCAGAGCCGGTCTGGAGGGCTCTTTACAACTGGTACACTGCAAACCTCTCGTTACCAAGGCCAGTAAGTACATAAAGAGTGGCCCTGCTGGATCACGTCAGTGGTCCAGCTTCTGTGGCATAGCGATGGCATCTAGATGTGTTTGGAAGGCCTAAAAATGAGTGTTAAAATAACCTGAGTTTCTGTCATTGCTTAATCATATTACAGTGAGTTTAAAAAGCAAACCAGATTTCAGGTTTTTGTCTCACTGCTTTTTTAGGGAGTATTGAAAAACCCAGGTTACACCCCCAGAAATCTTATCTCATCATCTTCGGAGACTTCTATCCAGAGAAATCTGATTTGCATATCACAGTAGTGCAGATTCATAGAAGACTATCAATCTCCTCTTTTTCTAAATCTATCATAATCATGTAATTATTATGTAGATAAGTGATTGGTACTTAACTAAATATGCAACAATCAACACAAGTGGAAATGATCTAAGCTGCAAGTGCAAATACGAGTTACATCTGATATAGCAAGATAAGAAGGCCATTCTCAGCTCTTAACCTCTACTAAATAGAAATCTAACTTTTCTGTAATTGTTTCAATTAAATGCCCAAAATTAAAGTAATTTTGAGCAAACAGAGTTCACTGACAATTGAAGAGTGCTTGAACACTCACTTAGCTTGGAAACTCGGCAGGAAAAGAGATTCAGGTGGGGTCGCCATGTTGGTCTGAAGCAGCAGAATAAAGTTTGAGTCCAGCGGCCCCTTTAAGAACAGCGAAGTTCAGTTCAAGGTATGAGCTTTTATGTGCACGCACACTCAGCAGGGAAAGGTTGGCGATGTGATAGCTGCTGCTACAGGGGTCCTGGAACTCCTCCGCCAAGCAGTTTTGGTAGCTTCCTCTCCCTCCCCGCCATCACCCTTCAGCAGACTGGCTCTGAATCATGAAGACGCCTTCCTTGTTTCGATAATAGCACAAAATAGCATTGTGTGTCGCTGTCTTTCGTGATGGCTGTAAAGGGGGGGGGGGATTAACCAGAGCCAGACAACATTTAGCCAGTGAGGAAAGAGAGATGCAGGCAGCCTGTTGAAGCTCTGATGCTGACTCTTCCTTTGGAGCACCAAAAGACCCAGCTTTGCCACTCGACTTCGCCCACACATTCTCCATGGAAACTAGCATCTTTCCCGGCCTGCAAAAGGCCATGTGTGTCGCAAGAAACACCAGGGATGTGCTTTGCCCAATCCATTTTAATTTGGGGTGTGTGTGTGTGTGTGTGTGCGCCAAGCAGTAGAGTACAGGTCCCCCAATGCAGAAAGCTCTCGGTTCAATCCCTGCTCTGTAATCAGTTCAAAAGCTCTCAGCAGAGGATTGCCATCTGCAGGAGTGGCTTGAGCCAGCTGCTGTGAGATTGTTGGAACGCCACGCCACTGTTTTGCTGCATGTCAGTTGTGTGGATCTGGGCACGCAGGTTGCCAGGCAAAGGAATGGGCTGGCCCTGTCTTGATCTGTGCCCCAGTCACATGGCCTTGGCTAACAGCTGCCTTCAGCCTTTCCAGGGACGAGACCCACTTTGAGTTCTGTGCTAGATTGGCTCTCCCAGATGGGAGGTGCCAGGGGTTGGACTGGAGATCTTCTGCACGCAAAATATGTAGACTGCTGAGCTGGGGGGAGGGGGGATTACCCATGCAGTGCATAGCTACGTTTTAGTCCAGTAGCACATTAGGGGCGAACAAACTTTTTCAGGGCATAAGCTTTCAAGAGTCAAAGCTCTCTTCATCAGATACAAGTCAGAATGGAGATCTGAGTCCTTGTACCCCAGTCAGAAGGTGGGAGGGGTGTTGCAGGAAAGGAACTCAGAGTGTAAAGGTTCAATGTACATTGTAATTAGCTTGGTTAGACCAGAGCAGAAATGCTTGGGGACATCTATAGTAAGATAAGAATCCCGCGTCCCTGTTCAGCCCTGGAAGGTCCATTGTTCTGACTTTGTGAATGAACTCAGGTTCTACAATCTCACATTGCAATCTCCCCTTGAAAGCTTCTCTGTCTGAGGACTGCCACTCTTAGGTCAGCAATGGAATGATCTGGGACCTGCAATGCATGTTCCCCCCCCCCCAAGAACTTTCCACCCCAGTGCAGACTGGCGGCAGCTCTCTGCGGTCTTTTCCAGTGCAGCTGCCTGGAGACATGTGGTCTGCGGGCTTTCCTTGTAGCAGCTGAGTCCATCAGCCAGTGGGCCGCTTGTTTGGCTTGGGATCTTTGCCAGGCAATCAACTGAACGTTTCAAAAACCCGCAGGGCTCTCCAAGTAAAGCCACCCTCACTCTTCCCTCCCCAGGTGATCCGGAACAGCAAGACAAACCAGCCCGAGCTGGAGCTCTTCCCCCGCTACCTGCTCTTCCTGAGGCAGCAGCCCGCCACCCGGGCGCAGCAGTCCAACATCTGGGTGAACCTGGGTATGATGAGCCTGAGAAAGTTTCCTCACCATTTGCCGAGAGGTAACGTTAAGAATACAGCAAGAACCCCCTGACAGGAGACGGGCACCGCTGCCCACGCGGCCTGAGGCTTTGGCTACCGTGCTGCTTGCAAGTGGTCCCCATGAGATCTGGAAGCGGGGCTGGTGGCGGATAAGTTCCTTCACTTCCTCCACCCAACACCTCTCCATTGCTAAACTCTTATCAAAGGTCACACAATGTTAATGGCGCTTGCTTTCCTTGTTAAAAAAAAAAATCACCCAACTATACTGCTACTAGCTAAATGGAGTGGCGCAGCCTCTTACTGGTGGCTATACCACTGTAGTGGTCAGGTTGCATTTTGGAGCGTTCAGCCATAGACTCCCTGCATACAGAAGGCCCAGCAGGTCGTGAGCCGTTTGGGCTCTTTATGACGGAGCAGCCAACTAGACGGTGCCTCGTCTGCAGACTGAGGGCTGGATTATACAAAGAGGTGGTAGAACATGCTGCTGCATGTCAAACTATGCACGGGGGTGGGGAATCATGCTTTGGAGCATTCCCTTTTCTTAAAAAGCTCCCTTCAGAGAGAGGGAGGAGGCCCTTTCTCCCTGCGGAGCTAGCTTTCTGTTTGCAGGGACGTTTTTTCAATGCAAAGAGTCTTCAACTTTGGAGTCCCCCCCCCCCCCCCTTTGCCGTCTGGTCTGTCACTTCAGTGTTGTATCCTGTCATTCTCCTGCACGTGTGAACCAAGCCCAAGTGGGATCATTCCAGAAAAGCATTATCAGTTGATTTTGCTGGACAGGTAAACTGACCCCCCTGAGTTGATTATGCCAGCATAGAATGCAGGAGTGTCGTGTTACAGTCGGAGGCTGGGTTTTTTCCTTATAGAAGAGCCAGCATGCAGACTGATAAAGGCAGACTTTAGGTGTCTTAACTCAATCAGTTTATTCCAATGACTCCATCCCAGAGAAAAGGGCCTTGTTCGCACATGCAAGAGAATGAGCTGCTGGAACGAAATGTACAGTCTGCCAGGAGAGGACTGTGGGAAAAGCACATTTTGGAATTCTCCTATATTAAACGCTCCTTTCTGATAGAAAACCAGCACAGGGAAACCTTGCCAAACACAGTGTTTGGTTTGCATAATCCTGTGCCTGCAATCCATTCTACCCCTTCAGGGCTTTGCCTGCTCTGTCCTATTTCATTCTCCCGGCATTACAAGGAAGAAGTAACTTCTCACATAGATGTCTGTTGTGTCACAGCAGATATCCTTTAATGAGAGGCATATTGTCCGGCATGAGATGTAGGAAGGAATGCCTCTTCCGAAATGGCGGTAGCTTGTTAGGTAGCTCACATGCCGCAGCTGATACCCTTTGGGGAAAGACACGGGGGAATCGCTCTCCTGAGATGCTGCTTGCCATCCAGAGTTTTTTAAATAAATGACTGAATTAAACCAAAGCCCTGGGTGATGAGATTAATGGGAGGATGCAATATTTTTTAATCGATCCAGAGTTTTTAAACCCCAGTGAATTAGCTAAAAATCACAGGCCTAATAATAAATCATGCCATGCTGCTAGAAAGGAAGATGCCTGGATGTAGGAGCTTTTGTGATTTTGTGACCATGACTATTTTGTTCTGTTTGATTCGGCGTCCACAAACAGGTTTTGAAAAACTGCTTGCACTTGAATCCTGCCCTTGCTCCAAGGAGCTGAGGGCAATGAGCGTGCAGCGTCCCCCTTTTAATTCTTGTGACTGCCCTACGATGTAGACAAAGCTGAGCCCAGCAGAGCCTAGGAAGGGGTACTGGAAGCTGCAAAATTCTTGTAGAGGCAAGGCTGGGTTGGGGATTGTGTGGTGCCCTTAAACGTCAGTTCCCCTTCCCCGCCTGCCTGCTGCTGCCAGGCTCTGCCATCTGCTGGCACCAGCTGTGTGGAATCCATGTGGATTTTGCATTCCCACGTGACCCTCACCACACATATACCTGCCAGGAAGAGAAACATTGTCTGACAGCCAGCCCTCTCTGGTCTTTGCAGCACCCAGAGTGATATTGGCACTCAAGACCCACTAGATTCCTGTAATCACTAGTGCTAATTCAGCACATCAGGCTTCTGGAAAGGAGGCTCTTGCTGACACACAGACCTTCTTAATAAGAGTTTGCTTCTGTACTCAAGCCAAAATCTCCAGGATGTCTGTCTTAACCTCTTGTTCTGCCAGCCTGTAAGAGGAAAAGGTGTGTTGCAAGCACCGCCTTCCCCCAATCCTTTATAATCAGGAGCTGTTTGCTTGATCAGATTTCTACGGAAAAAATCTGCCAGTGGGCCATCAAAATCTTAACTCTGCATCCTGAGGTGGGAGCTGTTTTGCACTGAACATGTCGAATTTCTAAATTCAAATTTGTGGGTCCCCCCCCCTCCCCGCGTGGTGTATTGGATCACAATTTGGAATTGTTTTTTCGCTCTGCACTGATCATTAAAAATCAACTTGAGTGTCCCCACCCTGTACGCTTTCTTGCTGTAATCTTATTCCTAATCCTCTCTTCTTTAGTTGCAGAAAAATGCTTTTTGTGTGTGTGCATGTGCGTGTGTGTCATTGAGAGAGAATCCTTTGCTTGGTGTGTCAAGGTAAAGGAGAGCTGCTTTGCTGACTTACAGAGCAGTTGCTGAATTTTTTTGCTCTTGAGTTACAGTTGCATGCAAACTGTTTATCAGATATATCAAACTGTATATTTAAAGTAATTATCTAAGACAGGGGTCCTCAATGATTCTGAGCCTTTGGAATTCTAATACAGGTTGGTGGGTGCAACTGCAAAATGGCAAAGTCAGCCACATAATAGGTTATGTATAACTCTAATAGTAACCCTTCAACGTTTCGGCAGAAGTTCTGTTTAACAGGATGCCAATCAGAAGCCCTGCTGGACAAAAGCCCCACCTGGCCATGCCCACCTTCTAAAAGCACTTGATGGGACCAGGGGAGGTGTTGGTGGGCGCAGCACGTTGGGGACCCCTGGTTTAAGATGTGAACAGAACCTATCTGCTTGTACACAGCAGCTGTTTTCTCCTATCAGAAAGCTGCTTCTTAACAAGGGAGGATGGGAGTGATTTCCATTGATTCTCTTCTGGCGCTGACCCATAAATTCCAGTCCTGTTCTCCTGAGGCTTCCCTAAACCCCGGAGGCAGTGTTCCAGGGCACATGGTGGACTACTGTGAGAGGGGAGGTAGAAAATCCCATTCCATGAGCTTTTCTCCTCTCGTGGTTCTCAGTGGATACAAGCCATTGATTATGCAAATGCAGATTCTTCTAAAAAAACAAATCTGTTGTGAACTTGTCGTTCTTGCAAACATATTGGAGAGGAAAACACAAAAGGGAATATGCTGGGTGGCATTTCAGCTTGGCACTCACTTGTTGCCAGGTCGGAATTTTCTTGCATCCTCCCCATTTGCCTTCATGGGTATGGGGAAAGATTCAGTGCCGTCAGTCCCTTAGGTGTGACTGAAGGTTCAATGTCATGATGGGACTGTGAGCTCCCTCTTCCTCCTCCCGTGTAAATGTAGTCCTCTCTAGCTGTCATCTGCACCATCATCAACAATTACCAGTGTGTGAGGCCTTGCTTTTGACCAAGGCTGGAATGTGCTGAAGGGTGAAACCCTCATCAGTTGGGTGTAGTGGGTAGGAGCGCGGACTCTAGTCTGGGAGAACCGGGTTTGATTCCCCACTCCTCAACATGCAGCTGCTGGCGTGACCTTGGGTCAGTTACAAGTTCTTTCAGAGCTGTTCTCTCATGAGCAGTTCTTGAAAGAGCTCTCCCAGCCCCACCTACTTCACAGGATGTCTGTTGTGGGAAGAGGAAGGGAAAGGAGATTGTAAGCCGCTCTGAGACTCCTTCGGGTGGTGAAGGGTGGGATATAAATCCAATTTCTTCTCTTCTTCCTCTCTGAATCATGTCTGATGTTGGTGCTAACAGTGGCAGTGAAGAGAAGAGAGCACTGAGGAATCTGTGAGGAGAGGGGCATGTGTACTCCTGACCCTTGGTGATAATGGATGCACAGTGTTCAGTCAGCCCCTAGAGAAACTGCTGCAGCTTCCCAAAAACGTACAATGAATTTGTTTTCTCCTCCAAAATAGGACCGTCAAAATGTAAGATGTGGTAAAATGCTCTGCCACTCACCAGGAAAACAGGGAAGTGGTTGGAGACTGGGGGTGGGGCGGGGCTGTGGCTCAGTGGCAGAACATCAGCTTGGCCTGCTGGAGGTCCCATACAGCTCCCGGGATCTCCAGTTAAAAGGATCAATTTATTCATTTTTATTTATTAATCACATTTATACCCCGCCCTCCCTGCAATGCAGGCTCAGGGCGGCTCACAGTCACTACATAAAATACAGTTAAAACCACATAAAACCATATAAAAAGATTCCATTATTAATACAGTTTCAAGCAGTAGGTGATGTTGAAAGACCTTTCCCTGGGACCCTGGAGGACTGCTGCCAGTCAAAGTAGCCAACGCTGACATTTGATAGACCAGTGGTCTGACTCTCATAAATGGAGGTGCTGTGACTCAGTGGTAGAGCATCTGCCTGGTATGCAGAAGGTCCTAGGTTTGATCCCTGGCATCTCCGTTTAAAAGGACCGGGCAGTAGGTGATGTGGAAAAGTTCCTGGAGAGCTGCTGCCAATCCGAGTAGACAGTACTGACTTTGAGAGACCAATGGTCTGATTCAGTATATGGCAGCATCATGTGTTCATCTGTGCATCATACATGTACCACAGTGACTGGCTGTAGTACGTCTATATGATGTGATGCAGTTCCTCCGAGCTGGAGGGGTGAGCACCAGGGGGTGGCATGACTCTGGCTGGGAACGGTGTGGGTCTGCTCCAAAGAGCTAAAGCAGCTCAGCTTTACATGTTGCCTGATTTGCAGGGCTGTATCAAATCTAGCCCACTTTGATTCCACATGCCCTATGAAGGAGCTCAGACTATCACTATTATTATTCTTTTCCCCCAGTGTATCCTCACAACAGCCCTTTGAGGCAGGATAATCTGAGAAAAAGTGACTGGCCAAAGCCATCCAGTGAGCTTCCTTGGCTGGTAACATAAAGTGAGAGGTCCACCCATGACTTTTAGTAATGTCCTCTTCAAATATTGAACAAATTGAATCAGGCACTTGTTTTTATCACCTCTCAGTCCTAAGTAATCTGGTGTTTTTTCTTAGCTAGTTCTAAAAGGGCTCCTGTCTTTGTCATTCATCAGCTCACAGCTGCCTTCTGAGTTTTCATTGTTGGATTAGCTTTAATCTGGTGTCCACAATTAAAGGCCTTACTCAGTCCATTTTTCTCTTATGCTACTTATGTTACTCCAAGCCTGGGTAGCAAAGGGGTGAATTTTAGGGGCTGTTTATGGGCCTGCCCATCAGTATTCAATTCAATTTATTTCTACAGTCCTTAGACCAGTCATACAAAAAGAATTATACCTTTACAATATTCCAAGATTTTAAGATACATCAGTGACACATTAAAAGCAAATTAAAATTTAATCTCATATCAAACAACTATATCTAACTAGCTACCTTAGAGTTTCCGTGATCTGAGTATCACCATACAGAAACTGGCTACTTGGTGGTAATTTTGGGGTTTCTATCAGATAGAAGAAACTCAAGTCTAGCTTTTTCGGAAAGACCCGGAATTTGTTCAGTCAGTGGAGTGATTTTATTACGCACCACCTTATAATACGGACATCTAAAAAACATGTGCTCTGTAGTCTCAACCTCCCTTAATGGGCAGGTACAAAGCCTTTCTGAGAAAGGCGTATTTTTGTATTTTCCTTCAAGTACAGCAGAAGGGAGGGCAGAGCACCTCGCCAGAGTGAAGGCTCTTCTAAGCCCTTTGACTTCAAGAGATGTTAAATAGTTGGCTGGACCCACAGTATTTTTGATAATTGCCCTCATCTTAGTGTTTTGTATGCTGGAAAGATCAGTTTGGCATTCTATATCCTCAATTCTCTGCTTAACTAATATTTTTGCTTGGTCTGTTCCAAAAGATAAGAGCACCTGGGGGGAAAAACTATTTTCAGCAGATAGCTCTGAACAGACATAGACCAATTTGATTGGAAATTGTTGCAGAGTATCAGAGGGAGTAAACCTTGTGGGTTGAGATACCCATTTAGCCAGGTATGTATTGATACAATACGGACACAGGCTTCAACTTTTAAACAGCCTGTCTCCAGTCTTACCCTGGCATTTGACACGCATCTAGGGACCTGTAAGATAGATCTTAGGAACTTAGACTGAACTCTTTCTAGAGATGCAAAATAGGAACTGGGTGACCCCATAAATGAGCCATATAACAGTTGGGCTAGCGTCTTGGCTTTATATCATTTAAGGGCTGCGGGAACATATGACCCCCCTTGAGAGCAATGGAATTTTGCAATACTATTTGCAGATCTTTCTCCTTGGTCCGCAGCATACTTACTATGTTGAAGCCTAGAACCCGTGGCCTGCAGGACTACCCAAAGATATTTAAAGTTATTAACTTGCTCAATGTGATGGCCATTAATCGACCAGGACCAAATTTTCAGTCTACGCCCAAAAGCAACTATCTTGGTTTTCTGGTAGTTGATTGTAAGAGACTCTGTTTCACAGTATGAGGAGAGCTTCCCAAGAGCCCTCCTCAATCCTACAGGGGTTCTGGAGAGTAGCACTCTGTCATCAGCATATAATAACACTGGTACTGTCCTATGGGCAAGTCTAGGGGGATGGAGTTCTGGAGTGTTAAGCCAGCTAGATAGATTGTTTATGTAAAAAATAAACAGTGCCGGTGCTAACAAGCAGCCTTACCTGACACCTCTGGCCCATCAGTATAGACTGGCATTGGAGGGCTTATCTTCCAAGGGAAAGCAGGACAGCAACAGAGATGGGACACCCATGATCAGTGGCGGGCCTACATTTTTGGGACCCCGAAGCTTGAACTGTTATGGGGGCCCCTTCTCAACCAGCAACAACAGGGCAACCTCCAACAAGGTCCTACAGGGCCTGAATTGAGAATCCGGATGTCTTTTTATGGTTCTGATTGGCTGAGGGCTGAGCTGTAGAAATATTCTGCCGTGTACCAACGAAGGATTCCAGGATTCAGCTGCCAAAATGTAGGTTACGAATAGATTCTGGCGAGCCCATACAGCTGGGGGTTCGGGGGGTGCAAGCCCCCGTGAAAATTTAGAAATCTGACCAATTACAGGGACATTTTGAGGCCATATGAAATGGGTATTAGAGCATATTCTAAGGTCAGTATTAAGTACTTCAACCCATTGACTTGATTCTGTCACTAAAATAGCCTTATTTTAATAACAAACCCTTTAAAAAACTCCATCAACGTTCTTGAAAAATCCAGTCATTAAAAAAAAGTTGCTTCAGGGCCCCTCCAGGCTGAGGGGCCCTGAAACTGAAGCTTTGTTAGTTTCATAGTAGATCCTCCCCTGCCCGTTATGGGTGCCCGGATTCCAAATCTTGGGATTCCTTCACCAAAGAAGGTGGTCTATCTCCACAATCTCCACCTTTGGGTCCTCCTGTGGCACTTGCCAGTGTGTCTGTTCAGGGTCTCTTAGTGCCGGTCTCGTGCCTTTTTATTACTGTCGCAGTGGCTAGAAGCACCTTTATTTATTTACTAGATTTATACCTTCCCTTTCTCCCCAGTGGGGATTCAAAGCGGCTATCGTTGCTCTCCTCTCCTCCCTTTCAGTCTCAAAACAACCCTGTGAGGTAGGGTAGACTGAGAATGTGTGGCTGGCCCAAGGCGTTACTCACCAAGCTTCCATGGCAGAGCGGGGATTTGAACCTTGTTCTCCCCAGTGTTCCCTCTAAGCTGAGTTAGTGTGAGCTAGCTCACAGTTTCTTAGCCTCCGGCTCATATATTTTCATCTTAGCTCAGGAAGGATGGCTCCAGAGCAAACTAATGTATGCAGTAGCCAAATCACTCGCTCACAACTTTAATGCCAGTAGCTCACAAAGTAGAATCTTTGCTCACGAGGCTGTCCAGCTTAGAAGGATCAACACTCTGACCACTGCATTATCCACTGCACTTGGGGAAAATTCCAGCTGTCTTCAAAACATTTTAATTTAACTGTGCACTGTCGGACTCAGGACTGATCCATATAGCAGAGCAGAGAGTCTAATTACAGAACTGTATTTAGAACAAATTCAAGCAACAAAGGTAGTATTTCAGATATCACATGCAGTAAAAGATCAGTGGGGAAGATGGTAAAGGGCAGCACTTGATAGAAAAATCTATAAAAAGATGACCAATAATAAATCACGTAGCATACCCGGCCATCCAATTTGATCTCTGTTAATGATTTTTATGTAACTCCTGGTGGTTGGACCCTTTTTTTGTGGTCTGTAGTTATTGGGAGTCATTCCGATAGCAGTACTGGCGAGCGGATGTGTGTAAACACTTCTAAATAAACGGGGGTATTTTATAGCGATGAGGGAGGCAGACGGGCAAGCCTTCAATACAATACAACCTGAAATGGTACAGCCCAATAAAAAGTCCGTCATAAGGGAACTTCTGTTTGAGTCCCACGAATGAGTGCAGATCGAGAGCGGCTTGATCGGTTGCAGAGACAGATCCTCCCACTGCAAGGGCGGAGCTTGTGAAGTTGCCTTAGACTAAATCGGGCGCCGGGCCCCTCTAGATCGGCCTGGGCCACACTGACTGGTGGCAGCTCTTCAGCAAGAATCCCAGGCAGAGAGAGTGCTTTCCCAGCACTTGCCAGTGGAGATGCCAGGGAGTGAACCAGGGACTGTCCGCGTGCAAAGCGGATTGCCCTTCCACTGTGCCTCAGCCTCACCCCAGTATGGTAGGCTTCTGTGATAATCCTTGTATTACAGAAGGGGGAGACCAAGGCTGGCAAGAGAGTGGCCGTCCAGTGAATGCACTGGTGCACCAGTCGCTCTCTTGCATACCATGAGACATCAACCTCCAATCTTCTCTGTGTATCAGACCCTCACCTGTCAGTTCTGTAGTTGTGCCTCTTCCAACAGTTTCTTCTTGCTTACGATGCCCAGCGGGAGAAAGGGACTGTCGGAAACAGTTCTTAAGGCACTAGGAACTTACAGGGCCCAGGCGTATAAAACTGGAGTTTAAGGAGTTGGTTCTGTCCGTGGCCACCTGTGAGCCAAGCACCTTGGCGTCCTCTTCCCCACCTTCCCCTAACGGCCTCCTTTGCCCTCTTGCAAACTCAGGGAACGTGCCCTCTCCCAGCGCTCCCTTGAAGAGAGTCTTGGCCTACACGGGCTGCTTCAGTCGCATGCAGACCATTAAGGAGATCCACGAGTACCTGTCGCAGAGGCTGCGGATCAAGGAAGAGGACATGCGCTTGTGGCTGTACAACAGCGAGGTAACAGGAGAGCATTTGTGGGAGGAACCAGCGCACATCGAGGGCTGGGGAGGTATTCACTATCTCGTTTGAAAGTTGGGACCAAATGATGACAAAGCAAAGCTTTGGTTTGTGCGAGAATTACTTATGCCAAGGGAGGCAAGGGCTTGCTAAGTGCTTTGTCTTCTGACGGGCTCTTGTCAAACCCCATGTCCCCAACCCCTTTGAGCCCGCGGGCACCTTTGGAATTCTGACATGGCATGGTTGGCAGAGCCGCAGAATGGCTGCCACAAAATAGCTGCCACAGGAAGTGGAGCCAGCCACAAAATTATTGCCACAGCTTACCTTCCGTTCCTTCCGTTTGTCCAATAAAAGCTGTATGGCTCAGTGCCTTGAGCAGTGTAGCAGTCTGAAATTTCATTTATACCAGGGGTGTCAAAGATATGGCCCGCAGGCCGTATCAGGCCCACACAGGGCTGCAATCCGGCCCGAGAGCAGCAGGCTCTGTGCTGCTTCCTGCTTCTAATGTCGCAGCACCTTTCCCCCAGTCTCTCCTAGTTCCTGCTTGGTAGAGGAGAGAAAGAAAGCCTTCCCTCCATTGGCTGAGGGCTCCTCCTCCCTCCCCCCTCCTCCTCCCCCCCCTCCTCCTCTGGGGAGGGAGGGGGAGGAAGAGAGACACAGAGAGGGGGGAAAATGGCATCTGGTGGAATTTTTCAGAAGACCAGCAACGTTTTATTTCAGGTAGAAGTACACTTTTTCTTGGGGGGTGGGAGCCAGGGGCAGCACACCAGAAAAAGACAAAAAAACCCTGTTTTATTCCAGGGATGGAGGGGGAGCCCTGTGCTTAAGACCAACCTCCCCCCCCCCATTTTATTCCACATCAAAAGTTATATAAGGATTTTGATCTGAGAGTAGGAAGGGGACCACCCTGCTTGGATTAGGGTCGTAGAAATTCACCAACCATGGTAGAATAAAGCGACATCATAAGTTATATCGAGGACATTAGAATAGAAAATGAGATATGGTATCTGTTTTAGCGAGGGAGCAAAATCAAATTCTGTCAGTAGGGAAGATGCAAAAAGCGGCCTCTCGTAAACCTTATTGAATGGGTATTCATTTAAGCAAGAATAAAAGCCCTAAGGAGCTGTGGTGGCTCAAGTGGTTAAGATGCTGAACTGCAGGCTGTGGAAGGTCAGTAGTTCAGCAGTTCGAGACCCGGGTGCTGCATGATGGAGTGAACTCCCATCTCTAGTTCCAGCTCCTGCCAACCTAGCAGTTCGAAAGCAAGACATCGCAAGTAGATAAATAGGTACCACTTTGGTGGGAAGGTAACAGCGTTCCGTGCACCTTGGTGTTTAGTCATGCTGGCCACATGACCACAGAAACGTCTTCGGACAGCGCTGGCTCTTCGGCTTTGAAACGGAGATGAGCACCACAACCCTAGAGTCGGATTCGACTGGCTTTCGAGCAAGGGAACCTTTACCTTTACCTTAAAAGCCTTAAGAAGACCAGGCGAGATCAAATGATAAGTATAGGAAGGAAGAGAATCAAGGGGAAGTATTCCAAAATATTGTGATGAACTAACTCGTTGAGCAGGAAAAATAGAACTATTATAATCAATCTGCCTAATCCATTTTTTAAAATTGTAATTACTGATTCAAGAAGCCCCAGTTCCTGGATAGATTCTGTAGTAAAACCAGCAGCTGACAATTTCTTGTCCATGCTCCTAAGCCATGATGATTTATCAGAATCCTCCTTCGGTAAGGCCAGGTAGTCATTAGCAGAAAAAAAGTAGCTCTAGGCCCAGATTACCCACAGGTATCCATGCCCTAGCTTCCAATGATGGCTGACCAAACTGAGTGCACAAAGCCACACTGGCAACACAGCATGGTATATTTAACAGCTTTCTGAGGAAGCAAAGGAAAGGGAAACTAATAGATGCAGTGACCGCTTTAATCCTTACGCAGATTACCTTCAGTCACAGAGCGAAGATTCCTGTGCTGTGGTGGCAAAGAAACTTTTTTTAAAAAATCCGCCCAGCCAGTCAAATCACCATTAGCCAATCAGAAGCCTTGCTGGGCAAAAGCCCTACCTGGCCTTGCCCACTTCCTAAGAACACCTGGCAGGCACCGTGGCACCCGTGGGCACCCCACGGGGGACCGGTTTAGCAGGAGGTCTGAGCCGAAAACCCCCTGCTTTTTGTTTGGCTGGTCACTCAGAACCTACAGCCGTGCTCAGAGTGGATTTTGCAGGTTCTTGTGGCCCTTTCTTACACACCCAGGGAAATGCTGATCACCACTTTGGGGTCAGGAAGCAATTTTTCTCCTGGCCAGTGATCGAGAAGTGTTTTTTTTTTGTCATCTTCTGGGCATAGAGCAGGGGTCGCTGGGTGTGTGTGGAGGGGAAGTATTTCTGAATTTCCTGAATTGTGCAGGGCGTTGGACTAGGTGACCCTGGAGATCCCTTCCGACTCTATGATTCTCTGATTCTAAGTCCTAGTTTGTTGCAGCTAAAGTTACAGTGATCGTCCGAGTTGACAGACTGCACCCCTTAAAACAGGTTGTTGGATGTACATGATTGCCAAAGTAATGTGACAAAAAGTCTGAAGCTAAGCATTACAACGCACACTTGTCCGCCACTTGACACGACAGACAGGGGTTTGCCTGCCCCTTCCCTTTCTGTCACATCTACAAAGGGAGACCCTGAGCTGCAGACCGGAAGGTCAGTAGCTCGGCAGTTCAAGACCCGAGTGCCGCGTGACGGAGTGAGCTCCTGTCTCTGGCCCCAGCTCCTGCCAACCTAGCAGTTCAAAAGCAAGAAATTGCAAGTAGATAAATAGGTACTGCTTCAGTGGGAAGGTAACAGTGTTCCGTGCGCTTCGGCGTTTAGTCATCCCGGCCACATGACCATAGAGAAGTCTTCGGACAGTGCTGGCTCTTCGGCTTGGAAATGGAGATAAGCACTGCCCCCTAGAGTTGGATTCGACTGGCTTCCGAGCAAAGGAAACCTTTACCTTTACCTTGTGTTGATAGTCTGTTTTTCCTCTGCAGAACTACCTTACTCTCCTGGACGATGAGGACCACACGCTGGAGTACCTGAGCATACAAGATGAGCAGCATTTAATAATAGAAGGTAAAAGATAAATAAAGGACCCAGTTGCAGATTCTGAGGCAGGTGCTGGTTTCAGTTGTTATCTCAGAAGTACGTCTGCAGGGGCTGTTATGTGGAAATAGTGCCTGTTGGGTACTTTTGCACCTGTCCGATATTTCCCCCCATAAATTGTTCTCTTAGTACCAGAGTTGTTCAAAGATCCTTTGGTGTGTTGTTGTTGTTTTAATTTCACCTGTATTGCTGAGTTTTTAGGACATTTTAAGCAATGGCACATCCTCCGTACCAAATCTTTGTTAAACCCTTTCAGCATAAAGGACAAGGATCTGGTGACACATTAAAGACTAGCAAATACGAGTGTGTGTTTTGTGCTGACAGGTCGCTTCTGACTTCTGGCCACCTTATGAATTAATGACTTCCAAAAACTTCCTGTCGTTAACAGCCTCGTTCAGCTCTTGCAGACTGAGGGCCCTGGCTTCCTTTGTATCCATCTCACATTGGGTCTTCCTCTTTTCCTACTGCCTTCAACTTTTCCCTAGAATTATTGCCTTTTGCCTGACTTTAACAAATACAGGACAGGAGAACATTTGTTATGGACAGGAGGCCCGGACTTGTAAGCCGTAGGTGGATGAGGTTCCAAACCAGACTTACAGATTGCCCTGCTTGGGAGTTAAAAAAATTGTGAAGCAGCTGAACTGATCAGGCTTGAGTTCACGACCAGGAGTGGCCAGCTCCCTATAGACAGTCTGTTGAGTTTCAGGTGGGTAGCCATGTTGGCAGAAAGTGAAGAGAGCCTCTTGCAGAGGGTGAAAGAGGAGAGCACAAAAGTTGGCTTGAAACTCAACATCAAAAAAACTAAGATCATGGCATCTGGCCCCATCACTCCTTGGCAAAGAGAAGGGGAAGTCATGGAAGCAGTGACAGACTTCACGTTCCTGGGATCCAAGATCACTGCAGACGGTGACTGCAGCCATGAAATTAAAAGACGCCTGCTCCTTGGGAGGAAAGCGATGGCAAACCTAGACAGCCTAATAAAAGTAGAGACATCACCCTGCCAACAAAAGACCCATATGGTCAAAGCAATGGCTGCGAGAGTTGGACCATAAGGAAGGCTGAGCGCAGAAGTATAGATGCTTTCCAATTATGGTGCTGGAGATGATTCTGGAGAGTCCCCTGGACTGCAAGGAGATCAAATCAGTCAATCCTAAAAGAAATCAACCCTGACTGTTCCCTGGAAGGCCAGATCCTGAAGCTCAAATACTTTGGCCACCAAATGAGAAGGGAGCCCTCACTGGAGAAGGCCCCGATGCTGGGAAAGACGGAAGGTCAAAGAAGAAAGGGACAGCAAAGGATGAGATGGTTAGACAGTGTCATCGATGCAACAGACATGAAGTTGAGCAAACTCCGGAGGACAGGAGGGCCTGGCGTGATGTGGTCCACGGGGTCGCGAAGAATTGGACTCGACTGTGTGACTGAAGAACGAAGCCATGTGGGCCTGCAGTAGAAGGCGAGATTTGAGTCCAGTCATGCCTTAAAGACCAACAAAATGTTCAGGGTGTAAGTTTTCGAAAGCTTTCAGCCTGAAAATCTTGTTGGCTGCAACTGCACTAGAATCTTGTCCCTCTCTAAGTGTCTGTTGATACTCTTAATCTGGCTTCACCGGACGGTAGTGGTCCACACCCACTCTTTATTGGATCTTTCACTCTTTTGACTAAATCACCTTAGCATCTGTCCTCCCCAGATTGATGGGACACACCCTGTCGCTTGCATTCTTGAAACTTGCTGGCCTCTATTTGTAATATGTAGCAAACCCCCCCCCCCACGCACAAACAAACACACACACGCGTGCTGCCTCTGCCCATGCATCAAGCGAAAATAGACTTGGCTTGTGGAAGCTGACGCCACCGTGAATTTGTCTTTGAGGTGTCACCAGATTCTTCATCATTGTTGCTGCAGCAGACTCACACGGCTGCCCCTCTGGATTGTGCCCCTTGGTGTGAAAATGATTTCTTTGGATACAGGAAGGGAGGACGGCTGCCCTTCAGAAGAAGGAAGCGTGCCCCCTTTCTTAAACGTGTGGCCTGAAGTTGTTTTCTCCACTTCCAGCTTTTTCGGATGTTAGAGAAGTTGGGCTCCTTTCCTTTTCTTTGTGTCAGGGGTGTGTGGGTCCAGAGAAGATAACTAAAGAGCTGAATACAGAATAGGATTAGGAAGGAGAAGGGGGGGGGGGAGTTGCAGTGGGCCACCTTAAAGCAGGAACCCACCCTAGTGGGAGTTGTTGGGAAAAGGGAGGCCAGGAGGAAGGAATAGGTGTAAGGAATCCTTCATTTTTACCCGTTGGCTTGACTTCAGAACTTCGATTTCTGCCTGTTGGGGCTGAAGGTAAGCTGACAGTGGTCTGTTGTGAATGTATTTCCTTTGGTCTCATTTTGTGTGTGCGTTTTTTCTGAGTTAGGGCATACAGATCTTACTCATTTTGCAGCTCAGCTCAGTTCAGAAACTTTCTCATCCATGGAGGTTTGAGGGTTTCTCGGGGACTGGAAAGGAACCTATTCCTTGGAATCGCTTTTTTGTGAAGGAGAGTTTCTGAGCGGACTGCAACTCCTCCTGCAGCTGCAGTCTGAATTTTGAGGCGTGCATCTTCGCTAAACCTTTCGTACTATTTATCTCTTTCAGTCCGGAACAAAGACATGAGCTGGCCGGAGGAGATGTCCTTTATAGCAAACAGCAGTAAAATTGACCGGAACAAGGGTAAGAGTTGGCCTGAAACAAATCAGTGGTTAAGGTCTGGTAGACATACACAGCTAGGAGGTAGAACAGGCTGTATTAATGCCGAGGGCTAGGGAGGAATCTGATTTCTGGATGCCCACCCGCATTCTTTTTGAAATCCCTGCAGTTGGAAAACTAGCAAGTCAGGAAGACATGTTCCTTCTGGCCCAGCCCGCTCTTTGTTTACTTTAAAACAAAACGCAGGAGAGAATTTGAAAAATGGCCTCTCCCCACTTGCAGCCTGAAGTGGTACAGTCTGTTTCCCTTGCCATTCCAGTACATGTGTAGACTAGGCCAGAATGTTTGATCGGGAGGGGTGAGCATTGCACCCCTTTTAGTACAGTCAGTGGAAGGTGGGGGAGTGGGTGGGTATCTGTGCTTCTGGCCATTCAGCTTCTGACAACTGGGGTCACTCTTGTCTTTGCAAGCCTCTCCAGTTCTGGTTCCGTGGCAACCTATGTGTATGTGTACCACAGATTCAATCCAAGCCACTGTGTGCATGTTAGCATGGCAGTGCTGGAGAGAGTGTATGGTGGTGGGGGAGAGAGGCACAAACACTGGCATGTGTGACCATTCAAGCAGGTCTTCCCTGCAGTCTTTTGCCAGCATATATTGAGCACAAAGACCTCCTACTTGCTGGTGTGGACTTATCCTGCCCAAGTCAGAGTTTCTGATTTTCGGAACACTGAGATGCCGGGGCTTTACGGTCAGCTGGGGAGGGCTGTAGAGGAGAGGTGGTCAGCCTGTGGCGCTTGCGTGGCTAACCCCGATCCCTTTCCCCACGACTCTCCCCCGCGCCCCCCCCATTCCTGTCTCCTGGCCAAATATACCCACGGCAAGCCCAGCTCTGCTCTTTTGCTTTCCCCAGTTCCTACTGAAAAGGGCGCTACCGGCTTGAGCAACCTCGGGAACACCTGCTTCATGAATTCCAGCATCCAGTGCGTCAGCAACACACAGCCCCTCACGCGGTATTTCATCTCGGGCAGACACCTCTATGAGCTGAACAGGTAAATGACCTTGTTACAACAATCCGCAGCTCTGAGGGCTGGGAAATTTTACGGCTATAACGGCCATTCAAGGCAGCTCACAGTATATAGTTACGTGGATGTAAATACGGGCGCATGTGAAATGTTTAACGCATGATGAAGAGCAAGGTTGGCCAGACCATGACGAGGATGGCTCCAGGCAAGCAGGGCAAGTCATTCTCTGTCCTGGCTCCGTACTGGTGGAACGGGCTCTTGGAAGACATCAGGGCCCTGCGGGACCTTTTACTGTTCCACAGGGCCTGTAAGACAGAGCTCTTCCACCAGGCCTTCGACTAGGGAGCCGCACCATACAAATTGAGGCCCTGGACCCAATATTAACATCAACATTAACATTAATACTAATAGTATTATTAACAGCCATACATAACCCAGACTACGATGGTAGCTGATTGTTTGTTCTGTTGGATGCTGCTCATGCCCGCCATCGCACATGAATCATCTTAGCACTAAAAGGTAACGGTAAAGGTTTCCCTTGCTCGAATGCTAGTCAAAACTGACCAAAGCGGTACCTATTTATCTACTTGCAATTTCTGGCTTTCGAACTGCTAGGTTGGCAGGAGCTGGGGCCAGAGACGGCAGCCCACTCTGTCATGCAGCGCTCGGGTCTCGAATTGCTGAGCTACCGACCTTCTGCTCAGAAGCTCAGCATCTTAACCTCTGAGCTAACTTAACCTCTGAGCTAACCTCTTAGCACTAGCACTTTGTAATTGTTTTATACTTATATTGTTTATGATTTTATCTATATTTGTTTTAGCTGGGTAATATCCCATGTAAACCGCCCTGAGCCTCCTATGGTGAGGAGGGTGGGGTAGTCATTAAATAAATAAATAAATATTTATTTTACTAAACTTAAACTTATGAAGCAGAGCAGGTTCTGGGCAATTTACAACACTATAAACAATTAAAAATACAGTTGATATATAATTAAATATAATTAAAATTTTAAAAATAATTAAAACCACAAATAATAAACATGAAATTAAAACCAGTCAAGGTGGCAATAAATAGTCCTCCATTGCCAACCATTGTTTCCGAAGTAATACATTGAAAGGAGGCAGGGGTCATTTTGTAGAAAAAGAGGTGCAGGAACTCATTAGCATCACTTATTTGCATGTGCCACACCCCCTGACATCACTGGAGGTGTGTCAGAAGGCAACACCCACCACTCAGGCTTCACTGGACTGTTTTGGATTGCTAGCTATCGGGGTGGGGGGGACGTGCAGATCTGTCCTCGCAGAGGAGGGAGAGCTTGTACCTGAATAAAACTTGGTCTTAAAGGTGCCACTGGACTGTTTTGGACTGGGGGGGGCAGAGGGAGCTCTGCAGCTTACCTGGCTGCTTCTTGCTCTGACTGAGGGCTGCTGGGAGCAGGGGGTGGGGCTTGTTGCATGTGCCCGCCCCCTGGGCTCTTTACTGCCGGAGCTCCGCTCCTGTGTGCTCCTGCAGGAAATGACCCCTGAAAGGAGGTATTGAAACACCACCAAAATATACGCTAAAGATCAATCGAGAGAGAATATCTTAATCAGTTAACAAAAAAAATGCCTTGGTAAATGTATCTTCCCCTGGAGCTGAAAGACAGCTTGTCAGTTCGGGTGAGTGCTTTGTCTCCTTCGAGCTCTCCTGCACAGGCCTAAGTGATAGAATACTGCTTTGCACACACCTTCAGAAATGGGATAGGGGAGAGATATGTCATTACATATGCTTTTAATGCTCATGCTCATTAAAAAAAAAAGCAAAGTCTGCATGTAGAGAAAATGCAAAGAAACTTAATAAAGAAGTGTGCATGCACACGAAAGCCTACACCCAGCATAAAACTTTGTTGGTCTTCAAGGTGCCCCTGGACTCCAACTTTGTTCTGTTGCTTCAGACCAACACAGCTGCTCACCTGAAGCTTTCCCTGATGTTATAGTTCTCATCACGCAGGGGAGGCTTTTGATGCAGTGGATCTCTCGTGCTCTCTCATGCACACGCACACACACACGAATGCTTTCAATTCTCCTGGATATTGAAGAGGTACCCTTTGGAATTTTGCCACCTTATTCTGCGGAACTGGCCCCCTCACTTTTGATCTTTAGGAGGCAGCTGGAGACAGTTTTATTTGGAAGAGGAGGAGGAGGAGATTGAATTTATACCCCGCCTTTCACTCTGAGTCTCAGAGCGGCTTAGAAACCCCTTTCCCTTCCCCTCCCCACAACAGACACCCGGTGAGGCAGGCGGGGCTGAGAGAGCTCTGAGAGAACTGCTCTTTTTCAAGAACAGCTCTGCCAGAACTACAGCTTGCCCAAGGTCATCCAGCCAGGTGCAAGTGGAGGAGTGGGGAATCAAACCTGGTTCTCCCAGATTAGAGTCCGCACACTTAACCACTACACCAAACCGCATTTGTTTAAAGCCATCCTAATCTGTTATTTTCAAATTTTCATTTTTTGTATTTTTTTTGTACTCCATTTTATTTATATATTGTAAGCTGCCTTGAGCTCCGTAAGGAAGGAAGGGGGCCAGTAAATGTTTAGAATAAATATATAATGTATAGGTTGGTTCTTTGTGCCTTTTGGTTCTTTGATTGAAAAATGCAGCTGATAACTAAATGGCTTTATTACCTTCTCTGATGAATTCTAGGACGAACCCAATAGGTATGAAGGGGCATATGGCCAAGTGCTATGGAGATCTGATTCAAGAACTGTGGAGTGGAACTCAAAAGAACATTGCTCCTTTGAAACTGCGGGTAAGAATTGTGTGTGATTCACATAATAGCAAATGGAGACTCTTCTTCCCTCGACACCCAGTTGTTCACATTTTAGTTTTAATTCTAGAATCCTGAATCGGAGCCGCTTTTACATAATGCAGCGACCAAAACACTTCAAAGTTGCTCTGACTTCAATTCAAACAAGAAGAAAAGGGGATTGTGATACAGTCCAGAGCACCACTCGAGAGTCAAAAATATGGGAGAATGTGTGTTTTTGAATTGGCCTTGAATTTTATTGTGATTGAGTTGCGGAGGATGAGACCGCCTAACAACCGAGCCCTTAGTTGTGTTTGCTTCATTTTGCAGTGGACAATAGCTAAATACGCACCCAGGTTTAATGGCTTCCAGCAGCAAGACTCACAAGAGCTCCTGGCTTTTCTCCTGGATGGTCTTCACGAGGATCTGAACAGAGTTCATGATAAGCCATATGTAGAACTGAAAGACAGTGACGGACGGCCAGACTGGGAAGTAGCCGCAGAGGTATGTGGCTGGAGGGTTGTGGCGTATGCCTTCCCCTTCCTCTTGACTGTCGCCTTCTCTGTATCGTCTAAGGAAACCCGTCAGAGTTCTTTTTAGCTGCATTAATGTGGGTGTTAAATATCAGGTCTGACTCCAGATTTTTGCATGTCCCAGGGCAGCAAGAAGCAGAATGCTCAAAGACGTTGGAGGAGCAGCAGTAACCTTTTGGTCTTACTAGGATCATCCCCCACAAATTACAAGGCACTTTGTCTGCTTTCAAGATAGGAGCTTTAGTTTCAGGCCTGAAGTCAGCAAAATCCAAAACTAGGAGAAGGAGGGGAGAGAAGGGAGAAGGAGAAGGAGTCGTTGCATATGATAGAAGCCCTGGTCTGCAGTCTTAAAATGGCATGGAGGAGATGTTTTGCAGATTAGATTATGCCTCTTCCATTTTTTTAAAAAGTCCCTCTGGTTGTAGCAAGGCATACTGGGATACAGAAGCAATGGAGACCTCCCCTTGGGGAAATAAAAACCCAAGAGATTATTTGGATCTGTCTATGGAGATCCGACATGGCCAGTTTTCTGTCTGTAGGACTCATCGTCTTTAGGTCTGAAGGAACACTCAGCTAGGTGGGCCTCCATCTGCAGTTTTCCTGCCCAGGCACTTTCCTCCCCCAGCAAGACCCAGACCCATCACTCAGTGGTCAAGCGACTGGGTTGCCGTAGATCCGGGGACCCCCATTCTTACCCATCTCTGCTTCTCTTTTAAAAAGTTGCTGGCATCCCCTCATTGGGACTGAACGTCTTTCTGCCCACCCCTTCTCACTCTTTCAGGCCTGGGAGAATCATCTTCGGAGGAACCGCTCCATCGTGGTGGACCTCTTCCACGGGCAGCTGCGGTCTCAAGTCAAGTGCAAGACCTGCGGGCACGTCAGCGTCCGCTTCGACCCTTTTAATTTTTTATCCTTGCCCCTCCCGATGGACAGCTACATGCACTTGGAGATTACAGGTGGGCAGTTGAGTGATGAACCCCAGGTGCTTCAGCGTTATGCCTGCAAGGAATTGCCCTGCTGGTGGGGGGTGGGTGGGTGTGGGGAATGGAAGATCCCACCCCCACCCCCCGGTACTGCAAGACAGCTCCGCTCTGGGTCTAGATGAGCCGCTTTCTGCTAGCATGGCGGGGTTATCACATGGGCTTTGCAGTGCCAATGCTCACGGGAACCTACATGTAAAGTCTTGACTTGGAACTGTACTGTGTAGGAAACGTGGAAGCGTCGAGATGGAAGGGGCCTCATCTAGTGCAACCCCCACACTTCCCCCAGTGACCCCTGCTTTTTATGCCATGGGGAAGGCAAAAAACCTCCAGCATCCCTGGGCCAATCTGGCCTGGAGGAAGATTCCTTCCTGACCCCGAAGTGGCATAGAAGAAAGGGCCACGAGAGCCGAGTGCTGACACACCTCCTCCTGCCCAAGTCCATGATCATGAGGGTTTGCTTTTTTTAGCTGAAAGCGGACATTGATGGAATTATCACAGAGTCAGCCCATGGAGTACTCGCTTCCTTGGTTATAATTTTCCTTCACAATTGAATAAGTGAGGAACAGCCGCCTGCTAATCTCATAAAAATAACAGACCAGGCCCGTTTTGTTGTTTTAATCTGCTTTTTAAAAGTGTGCCCCCCCCCCTTTGCTGTCTCAGTGATTAAGTTGGACGGTACCACCCCCATTCGATATGGACTGAGGCTGAACATGGATGAAAAATACACCGGCTTGAAAAAGCAGCTGAGTGACCTTTGCGGGCTGAAGCCAGAGCAGATCCTCCTGGCGGAAGTGCTCAACTCAAATATCAAGGTAACATCACAGCTATTTGCTTGCGAGTCAGGATGTTAAGAAGAACTCAATTTTCAAAAGATCAAAACCAAATGAGAAACGGAGAAAAGAAGCCTCGATGTGTTGGGGAGAAAGTAGATGGTGCATTCTGGCACGGGCACTTTTTCAAACATTTTGGAGCCCATTTTTGATTTGATTTGATTTATTAGACTTTTATCCCTCCCTCCTGGCTGAAGCCGGCTCAGGGTGGCTCACATAAAACATGAGGAATTTTTACAATACACGTACAATACACATTTTTCAAGGGAAATGGGGGGTTAGGGATTCTGATTTTAGAGTTTGGGCAAACTGGGATTGAGTACCAAGTCAGAAGCATATTTTTATTATTTATTTCATTAAAACGTTTAAATCTCACCTTTCCCCCCACCTTTGAGGGACTCAAGGCAGCTGATGTAAACCTATGTCTGGACTGGTGTACAAACAATACCTGTGCGTTAAAAAGAGGCAAACAGCATCATAACACAGTCTGTGAAAGGATCTTCTAAAAGACGCTTCCTTGTGCAACTGTCTATGCTGGGGAGGGGCCAGCTCTATCTGATGTTGGACGGCCGGTTGGACTCAAGTACCGATGACCTGCACCGGGCACTTGAAGCTGTGGCTGGTTGGCTCCGGCTGAGTCGATTGAAACTAAACCCGGCGAAGACGGAGGTCCTGGGCCTGAGTCAGGCCGGGATATGCGACGGTCACCTCGAGGCTAGACCACTGCAACGCTCTCTACATGGGGCTGCCTTTGTCGCAAATCCGGAGGCTGCAACTCGTGCAGAATGCTGCGGCCAGGCTGTTGATGGGTCTCTCTAGAAGGGACCACATTCAGCCTGTGCTGAAAGCGCTGCACTGGTTGCCAATAGCGTACCGGATTCGCTTCAAAGTGCTGGTTCTTACCTATAAAGCCCTACATGGTCTGGGTCCAGCCTACCTGAGGGACCGCCTTTCCTGTATGTTCCCCCAAGAGCACTACAGTCTGGGGCCAAAAACTTGTTAACTATTCCGGGCCCCAGAGATGCAAAACTGGTCGCTACGAGGGCTAGGGCCTTCTCCGTGGCGGCCCCTACCTGGTGGAATGAGCTCCCAGAGGAGATCCGGGCCCTGCGGGATCTGATGCAGTTCCGCAGGGCCTGCAAGACGGAGGTCTTCCACCAGGCTTTCGAGTAGGGGCCGCCCCCGCCCCCCATTATATTGTCATCGTGGGGGGGTGAAAGAGACCCTAAGAAGGAACACCTGAACATTTTAACATCTGAACATTGAAGCCATTGACTGTCTACTGGGAACTTCTTGGACTTGGTCCGTCATCTTTGGGTTTTTTGAAGTTCGAAGAACACTGAGCACTTTATTTGAATTCGGACTGGTTTTTAAATTGTATAGTATGTTTTTAATATTATAGGAATATTATGTTTTTATTGTAGCAAGATCTCTTGCCTTGTAAGCCGCCCTGAGCCCTATGGAGGGGGGGGTTAAATTTGATAAATAAATAAATAATCTCTGATTAAAAGGACCAGGCAGTCGGTGATGTGAAAGACCTCTGCCTGAGACCCCAGTCTCAGCAACTCCCAGTCTGAGTAGACAGTTCTGACCTCAGTGGACCAGTCGTCTGATTCAGTACAAGACAGACTGGGGTGTTCGTGTGTTGGGGGGGGGCAGCAGGAAGCAAGACGATCTCCTGACCTCTTCTGGAAGACCCTTCAAGAGCACAGTGAGCTGCTGCAAAACGGAGGCCCGTGAGGAGGCCTAGGCAGATTCTCCCCACAGTCTATAGAGAAAACTGGCCAGACTTGCTTAACAAAAGAGCCACATAGTATAAACGTCAGATCTTTGAGAGCCACAAGGCATGAACAAATATCACACACACGTTTTTATTGGAAAATATGCAAATTTGCTTTTTATCAACATTAAATTGGTAACTTTAGATGGGGAAGGAGGGGAGAAAGAGAGAGAAAGAAAGAAAGATGGAAGGAAAGAAAGTGGATGGGGGGAGGGAGGAAGGGAGGGAGAGGTGGAAAGAAAGCAGCTTGAACTTTAAATGCGTCCTCCCAGCCCCCCCTGCCCCCACGCTGGTGAGCTTGGCTTGAAGAAGGGATTTAAAGAGACAAATGTCTTCTCCAAGCCAGCCCGTGGGGGGACACTTTTGAGAACACATTTAAAGTTAAAGTTGCTTTCTTTTCTTTGCTCCCCTTCACCTCAAGCGTCCCCGGGGAGGGGAATACTGGCTGGGGAAGGGAAGACCGATCAGGGAGGCACGCCTCCCCTTCGCTTCCCTGGCCGCCCTGCTGGGAGCTACACAGTATGTGTGAAAGAGCTGCATGTGGCTCCCACGCCACAGTTTGGCCAGCCCTGGTCTAGAGAGCCCCACTTCCCTTGCCTTGTGCCCTTGGCCTTCCCCTTTAACGCCAGTTGCGGGGACCGCCTTAGGCTGAATTTTCTACCCCGGGGGGGGGTGTGTGCGGGGCGTGGAGTGGAGTGGACTCAATGGCTTCCAAGGCCTTGTCCAGCTTGTCTTTGCTCACGCTCCGATCAGATACTGCTTTTGGTGCTCTCCTGGGCCTTGAAAGAGTGTCCGGCAGTGCTCAAGGCCACTGCTGAAGGCAGAGATGGGGAGGGAGGGACCCCAAGACTCCCACCTTGCATCTCTATGTCTTGGTGCTAGTCGTGAATCAGGGCAACAGCAACACAGTTTCGTCGCCTTTAGTAACTGGTAACATCTGATGGCCAAATATAAGTCTGTTTTGGGGTGTGGGGCTTACCCACAGCGGCCACAGAAGGTGAGCTGCTCAAGAAGGGATGGTGCCCGATGGGTGAGCAGCTTGGAATGGTGCCAGGTATTTTACCATTATTTAATTTATTTGCTTGCCGATTAGGTACATTATGTTTTGAGGATTCTGCGAGCTGTGCGCAGTAGAAAGGCTGGGCAAAAATATTTTCCATAAATAAGAGCTGGCTTTCCAAGGTGCTAGCCAGATATGAACGGGGTCCACTTGAAACGGTGACTGAATTTAGAATGACGCAGAGCTTAAAAAGACCAAAAGCACCCAGTGTGTCATAACATTGACTCATCTCCTCCCCCCTTCTCTCCCTTTCCAAAGAACTTTCCTCAAGACAACCAGAAGGTTCGCTCTGGGAGCGGCTTGTGTGCGTTCGAGGTGCCGATCCCTGGATCCCCCACGTCGGCTTCTCCAAGTCCAGTGCAAACAGGTAAAATAAATTGGGTGGGCGGTTCCCCCTGAGAAGACGCCGGGTTTGGGGGACGGCCTCTTACAAATGGCTGCCAGGCAATACTTTTTGGAGCACTCAGTCATATGAAGCACCCCCCTGCAGTGCGAATGGGTGCAGCCCAAGCATAGGTTTGACCAGCTCAGAGGGAACTAGGAATTTGATGCCCTTGCTTAAACTTTCTCTCTCTCACACACACACTAAGTGTGCCTGTTTATTTTCAGGAGAATTCAGGTGCTCCTATATCAGAATTCGGGCTCTTCTCCATGTAGAGCACACAAAACTAGATAATAAGCAAACTGCTCACCTTGCATTTCTTGAATGGTACCAGCCTGGTGAACTGAAGTTCGTAACCCTGTATCTTTTTGTTCCTGGGCTTAGATTTCTGCGGCGGGCCAGCAGCCAACGGGATGATCGGCATGCTGATGATGAATGGGGATCTTCCCCGGCCCACCCTGATCCCAAACGGGATGCCAAACACAGTCGTGCCATGCAGGTCAGAGAACGGTCTCTCCAACGGGGTGGTGAACGGCCACCGGCCTTCTCCTTCAGACAGCCCCTTCATAGGCTACATAATTGCCATCCACAGAAAGATGGTGAGTAGAAAGTGGTGTGTGTGTGTGTGTCCATAAGACCTTTTACATAGTTGGGTGTGCGTGTGTGCCCTTTTCAATGAGTAGAATTCTATGTAAATGCATGTGACAATGACGAGTTATAAATAATCCTAAGAGAGCAAGTTTGGTGTAGTGCTATTCCTTGTCTGACATGAGGCACGGGTTTTTGTTATCATCTGTTGCTGCCATTTATTGTTTGATGGTTTTGTGTCGTAAGCCACCCTGAGCCCACTCGTGGGCTAGGGCGGGGTATAAGTTAAATAAATAAATAAATAATAATTAAGAGTGGCTTGATTCCCCACTCCTTCCCACATGCAGCCAGCTGGGTGACCTTGGGTCAGTCACAAGTTCTTTCAGAGCAGTTCTCTCAAGAGCAGTTCTCTCAGAGCTCTCTCAGCCCCACCTGCCTCACAGGGAGAGGAAGGAAAGGAGGTTTATAAGCTGCTCTGAGACTCCGAGTGAAGGGTGGGGTATAAACCCAGCTCTTCTTCTTCTTCTTCTTCTTCTTTTCTTTGTGGCCAAATCCATCTAGGGCAGAATAATCCTCTTGAAAAGACTTTAAGCCTCCCTTGAGATTTGGCGAATGGGGTCATGGCTTGTGCCCCCTGCCCTCTCTGATGGTCTTACCTCCAGTTTCAGTAAGTGGAGGCAGTGCAAGGCTGTGGATAGTGTCTTGAACTTGGATTGGGGAGAGCTGGATGGAACAGGGGTCCAACCCTGTAAGATGCGGCTCCATAGATATGTACATCCTGAAAGTGTGAGAATGAGAACCACCTCAATGGTCTCTATCTAGAGCAGTCAGAGGCAGACAATCATCGCTCCCTGACTTGATCCTCGTGTTTCCAGAAACAGGCTCCTTTCTGTGCTTAAACCACGCATGTGTGTGGCCATCCCTTACGCATTCCTTTTTTGTTTCCAAATTACATCTTTTTAAAATAAATTTTTCTTTCCCATCCCGAATGCAGATGCTTAAATTTTTTTCCTTTCCCATCCCGGATGCAGATGCGGACGGAGCTGTACTTCCTTTCCTCCCAGAAGAATCGGCCGAGCCTCTTCGGGATGCCTCTGATCGTTCCGTGCACGGTGCACACGCGGAAGAAGGACTTGTACGACGCGGTCTGGATCCAGGTGTCTCGCCTGGCCAGCCCCCTCCCTCCCCAGGAAGCCAGTAACCACGCTCAGGACTGGTGAGTGAGGCAGCGGCGGAGCTGCGAATGGGTGGCTGCAGGGAGCAAGGGAGGTCATGCTGCACTCTGGACAGGGAGAACCAGGGCAAGGCAAGCGCATCACGTTCAGCTCGAATCGTAGCGATCCCGACACAACCGTGAGGCCCGCTCGGCGACCTGAGCCGGTGGTGTGCGCAGCCTGACCCTACCTTGCAGGGTTGGTTTGAAGATGAAACGGGAGGAGATTGCTTTCCTGGGCACTGTAGCAGCTTATAAGAACGAACAATCAGAATGGGTCTTAACTAGTGTCCCCTCTAAGCTGAGTCAGTGTGAGCCAGCTCACCGTTTTTTAGCCTCCGGCTCAGACATTTTTGTCTCCGCTCAGGAAGGAGGGCTCCAGAGCACACTAATTTATGCAGTAGCCAAATGGCTCGCTCCCAGCTTTAATGCCAGCAGCTCACAAAGCAGAATTTTTTCCCACAAGACTCCACAGCTTAGAGGGAGCATTGTTCTTAACACATTAAAATTAATTGTCTGTTCCCAGTGATGACAGCATGGGGTACCAATACCCGTTCATGCTACGAGTGGTTCAGAAGGACGGCAACTCGTGTGCCTGGTGTCCGTGGTACAGGTGAGTCTCCCCCTCTGGAATGCAGAAAAAAATCAAGCCAGCCAGGCATGAAAGAAAAGCGGGGAGTTTGTCTGGGGCTGGAGACGGGCTTTGCAAAACTCATGCCAGTCTTCGTAGGCCGAAAGAAACCAAAATGGGAGTTCAGGAGCGACCTAATAATATGGGCCATCAAGTCGCAACCAACTCATGGCAACCTCAGAACCCCGTCAGGTTTTCAAGAAAAGAGATGAGCAGAGGTGGTTTGCCGTGGCCTGTTTCCACGTAGCCACCCTGGGCTTCCTGGGCGGTCTCCCGTCCAAGTGCTGACCAGGGCCGGCCCTGCTTAGCTTCCAAACTCTGGTGAGCTTCTTGGGCCAAACTGGGCTGTTGGGGCTGTGCTAGTAGCACCTCATATACCAACAGAAAAACACCAGGGTCCGTTTTAACTCCCAACAGCTGATGCCCTGGGAAAAATGTTTGTTCTCTTAAGGTGCTCCTGGGCGTGGATTTTGTCCTGCTGCTACAGACTAACACCAACAACAAAGACCCAAAGGAAACTGTACAGATGTGCAAATAATACATAACAAAATAACACATATAGGTGAATATAAATGTATAAATATAATTATAAGTGATCAACAGTCCTTATGCATATTTCCTTTCAGGTATACAGACGAAAGAGAAGTCCTCAACAGAACTAGGATGACGAAATGACGAAATTCTCCAAAGTAAACTTCCATTTCGTGGAAAACTTCTTCTGATAATGTCCTTAATAGTTCCTTAATTTCTGTGAAATAAGGAAAGACACCTCTGTATGTATACTATTTTATTAAGGATTCTGTGTATATTAGAGGAGCTACGGTGGCTCAAGTGGTTAAGACGCTGAACTGCAGGCTGTGGAAGGTCAGTAGTTCGGCAGTTCGAGACCCGAGTTGCTGCATGACGGAGTGAGCTCCCGTCTCTAGTTCCAGCTCCCGCCAACCTAGCAGTTCGAAAGCAAGAAATTGCAAGTAGATAAATAGGTACCACTTCAGTGGGAAGGTAACAGTGTGTTTAGTCATGCCTTGGTGTTTAGTCATGCCGACCACGGAAACATCTTCGGACAGCGCTGGCTCTTCGGCTTTGAAGCGGAGATGAGCACCGCAACCCTAGAGTCGGACTCGACTGGCTTTCAAGCAAGGGAACCTTTACCTTTATCTATGTGTATATTGCCTAGGTTCAGTAATTGATACATGTAGTAGTTAAAATTGTTATGTATTTTATTAAGGATATTATCAGAAGGGGTTTTCCACGAAACAGAATTTTACTCCGGAGAATTTCATCATTTCGTCATCCTAGTTCTGTTGAGGACTTCTCATTAATCTGTGTACCTGAAAGGAAATATGCATAAGGACTGTTGATCACTTATAATTATATTTATACATTTATATTCACCTATATGTGTTATTTTGTTATGTATTATTTGCGCATTTTGTGGTTTCCTTTGGGTCTTTGTTGTTAGTTTCTCATGGCTGTGACCTTCTTGGAGGAAGCCACTCTGCGCAAATGTGCACACAAACACCGTCTCTCCTTCCCTCTTAGAGGGAGACGAGCTGAGCCAACCCCAACCTCTTGGCACTATTTCCCGATATTAGTGTTTGAACAACCAAGCGGGGCACTTCCTCCCTCAGTTCAGCATCTGAAAATCACTCAGAACCGTTTCAATTAACTTGTGCCGAAACATCGAGAGCAGCAGTGTCCTCTTTTGGAAGGGGGTGATCTTTGTGTTCAGAGGTGCCCCTTTCCCCTATGTAGGTTTTGCCGGGGCTGTAAAATTGACTGCACAGAAGAGGGGGCTTACCTTGGGAATGCGTACATTGCCGTTGATTGGGACCCCACGGCACTTCATCTCCGCTACCAGACGTCACAGGAACGGGTAAAAGAAACATCAAGCCAAATTGTATTTCCCCCGTACTTTCTATAATCGTGTGGCTCTGGGGGATTATCTGTAGCACTGGGTTCTCTGTCGCAAACAGGCTTTACCTTATCCTGCTCTATAGGAATGCGAAGGTTTCAGGAAGCCAGTTCTTTCCCTGTCTGAATCTGCCCAGGTGTTCAGATCTTAACCGGAGGCTATACCCTTCCTGCCCTTCCAGTCAGAGGTGATCGGGTGGCCGGTAGGGACAGTTTCTTTTCTCATTGACACCCAGCTTGTGAAATTCCCTCCCCGGGTGGGGGTCCGTCTCTTCCCAGGTAGCATCAGTCCCGAAAGACAGAGACGCTAGAGAGCCACTGTCAGTCAGACTAGGCAGGACTGAGCTAGATGACCTTTTGGTCTGCTCCATTATAAGGTGGTTTCTAATGTTCATACGTCTCCTGTGCTTGCAACTGGTCCCTCTCCTCCAGTGCTTGACAGCTCTTGGGCAGCACTTCAGCTTCTGTGATTTGCTGTAACGTCTCTCAGACCTTATGCTCCGCTTACAGTGAACCTAGCAAGCATCTCTTCCTCTTTCCAAAGTGTGCACAGAAATTTGGAGCATCCTGCTAGAGTGACGACATGAAGCCCATCCCCGGTGGGGATGCTGGGTCAGAAGAGATGCTCCGAACAGGGGGCGGCTTCTGGGCTTGCTAACTCAGCTCCTTAGGAAGACTGTGGGCGGTTCATGGGCAGCCACTTGGGCAGCACTCATTCAACCGTCTGGGCTGGGAGCTGATCCCGCCATCCAGGAACTGTGGCTGAAAAGGCTTTGCTAGCTGACCCATCGCACGAGGCTACTGTGTCTGTCTTGACAGTAACTTCTTAGGGTTCTTTCAAAGTGCTTCCCAAGCACGAAGCAGAGATGCTGGAGAACTGAGGACTAGTCATCCCGGGAGCTTCGACGCAAACAAGATTTCCAAGCTAACAAAATTTGTGGCACGATATGAGTTTCTGTGAGCCACTGCTCACTTCTTCAGGTACTGCTTGAATGTGAATTCATCTGCCCTTCTATCTTGTAGAATGGAGTGATTTCAGGTGCCAAATGCCAATGACAATAGCAGGCGTGATCGGATTAGGTATGGTATGCAGAGGGGTAGTAGGCATATCACACCGAATCCAATCACACCTGCTATTGTCATAGACCTGCTGTTGTCATTCAGCATCTGAAATCGCTCTACTGTCTAATTATAAGTATAGATGGACTCCCATTCTAGCTGTATCTGAAGAAGAGAGCAATGACTCACAAAAGCTCATACCCTGCCACAATTATTTTAGTCTTAAGGTGCTACTGGACCCTTACCGTTTTCAACAAGGCAAATTGTCGATCCTAGAGAGGCAGCAGTAAAGACGGTAGGGGAAAAGCAGAGCGTCAAGGAGCTTGAAGTGCCCAGGCAGAAGTGTAATGAGCATGAGAGCTTTGTGAGGTCGATTACTCTTCCACCCAGGTATTCAGAAAAAAGGTTATTCCATCTCTCCAGAATCCACCTGAGGCAGCTTACAGAATAAAATAATAATAAAAATGAGCACATTAAAAGATGTTAAAATACAGCATTAAAAGCCAAGCATAAAAACTTAAGACCATAATGACAGCTTTAAAGTAATACTTTTCAGACAGTATTAAAAGATCAGTCCCTTAATTAAAAGCCTGGGTGAACAGAAACGTTTTGGCCTGGCACCTAGAAGAGAGCAACATAGGTATCAAGTGAGCCTCAAGGGGAAAGGTGGTAGGGGGCTTCCGGTCTGGCTTCCGCAAATGGCGGACGCATCCTCGGGGCGCTCCCGAGGGCATCTCGCCCGCCCGTGGTTAAGGGAGGAATCCGCGCAAGCGGAGACCCAGACAAGCCCCAGATGGGGGGGGCTCTGACCCGGGGCGCAGCAGGCGGGAGCCTCTTTCTCAGCCAAACGGTCAAAGTGTGGGTGCCCCGCCATGCCCCAATGGACCTTGCCGCGCAAGCGACCCCGAACGGGGTTTAGTGGAGCCACCAGATGTCACCGAGTGATGAAGCGAACAAATGGATAAAAAGACAAAGAGCGAACAAAACGATGAAAAAGAAAAAGAGCGGCTGAAACGGTGAGTTGTCGAACGTGGAGAAAAAGAGTCAAGCGCGATCCCCCCCACACCTAGTGAAACGTTTTAAGGGAGGAGGAGGGGAATCCTTCACAAGATATAAGGACAGATGGACTCACATTCTAGTTGTATCTGAAGAAGTGAGCGGCGGCTCATGAAAGCTCCTACCCTGCCACAAATTTTGTTAGTCTTTAAGGTGTTCCTTGACTCTTGCTCTTTTCTATGGCTATAGACGGATTGACACAGCTACCTATCTTGATCAAAGATTTTCAGGGAAACTAGCTTGCCTATCTCTCACGCTCAGACAGCCTCCGTGGTTCGTGATGATCAGCTTCAAGCCTACGTGGGAGCCGCTTAGCTCTCCCGCTTCTTGCACTTTTAGTTCTGGCAGTTCTGGTTTTTAACGTCAGAACTGCCTGTTACAGTCTCTGTTTAAAAATAAAAAAGTACAATTGCCACTTATTATACCATTGCACTGTTTTTTTAAACTATTTGGCATTGTTACTGGTGTCATGGTATAATAGTGCTAACCCGCTCAGACCGAAAAAATGAACAGATGTACGCTTCTGTGGACATCAGTAAACCAAGGGGGAAGCAGATTAATGAACGTAAGGAGCAGATACTGAAGGCATGCAAAGACAGTTCTCCGTTCAATCCAAATGGAGCATTTTACATTTAACTCTGTGCCTTTTGGCAGACAAGACGAAGATGGGCGCTGCCACAGCAAGAAAAGCCCTGTAACCTCATAGTTCTTCTTCATCTGTTTGCTTACAACAGGGAAGTGAACCTCTGTCAATTTTTTTCCAGTTTGAACCAATTACAGCTTGGAACCAGCATGCAGAAGCTGAGTTTATGTTGTTTTTTTAATGGTGAGCAGGTGCTCAAGCATCTGCGATCGGAACTCAGATCTGCAAACCCAGGAAATGCAGTGACAGCACAGAGGTGGTCGGAGAGCCCGTGAGCTCTAGAGGGCAGGGCTAGGCCTTGAGAGCCAGTTTGGTGTAGTGGTTAGGAGCGCGGACTCTAATCTGGGAGAACCGAGTTCCCACTTCTCCACTTGCAGCTGCTGGTGTGACCTTGGGTCAGTTACAAGTTCTGTCAGAGCTGTTCTCAAGGGCAGTTCTCAGAAGAGCTCTCTCAGCCCCACCTCCCTCACAGGGTGTCTGTTGCGGGGAGGGGAAGGGAAAGGAGTTTGTAAGCCGCTCTGAGACTCTGAGTGAAGGGTATAAATCCAGTCTCCTCCTCCTCCTTCTTGAGGAGGTCTGGGCTCAAACCCGCCTCAGCTCTGAATTCACTAGATGGCCTTGGGCCAGGTCTCCCTGGTGGCCAGACAGCTAATCACATCATCAAATCGTTGTGGTTTGCATGTAGGGAATCGACTTTTTCTTCTATACTGGGCAGGGAGCCCATGGTGAAGAAGGTCAGGCTGCAGTGCTTTCCCATATTTAAAAAAGAGCACACACACACACACACCCCGCAAGCCATCTGTTTTCCCTGACATGCCCCGTCCTTTGTATATTCTTCACTCTTGTTTCTTCTCTTGCTCCTAGATCGTGGAGGAGCACAGGAGCGTGGAGCAAAGCCGGCGGGGTCAGGCCGAGCCCATCAACCTGGACAGCTGCTTGCGGGCGTTCACCAGCGAGGAGGAGCTGGGCGAGGACGAAATGTACTACTGCTCCAAGTGCAAGACTCACTGCCTGGCGACCAAGAAGCTGGACCTCTGGAGGCTTCCCCCTATCCTGGTACCGTTTGCCAGCCCTCCCAGAAGCTTGGCTTAAAGTACATCTCCTTTTACGGGGGCTCCGCAATATATGAAACTGCATCCTTGTTCTGCGTCAGACTGCTGGGGGGTATCCATAAGAACATAAAGACTGCTGGGGGGTATCCATAAGAACATAAGAGAAGCCAAAGTTGGATCAGGCCAATGGTCCATCCAGTCCAACACTCTGTGTCACACAGTGGCCAAAAATACCAGGTGCCATCAGGAGGTCCAGCAGTGGGGCCAGGACACCAGAAGCCCCCCCCCCCCTGTTGCCCCCCCCCCCAGCACCAAGAATACAGAGCATCACTTGCCCCAGACTGAGAGTTCCTGCCTATACCTTGTGGCTAATAGCCACTGATGGACCTCTGCTCCATATGTTTATCCAATTCCCTCTTGAAGCCGTCCATCCAGCCCAGTACTTCCCCGTAGCGAGACAAGGCAGGGGTCTTTCTCGTCCCTGCTGTCTGAGGTCCTCTCAACGGGCAAGGTCGTGGGTCCTCCTGCATGCAAAGCCGCCTTGTATTGAGCCTGACTGCTTAGGCCATCGAAACAGAGCAAGAGCCCTCTCGGTTCTGGTCAAGAGGCCAGCGCGATGGTGCCATGAGCATGGCTGGACAAGGATCTGGGAGACCTGGGTTCAGATGCTTCCCCCTGTTCCACAGAAGCTGGCAGGGGCGACCTGAGGCCAGTTACACTCTCTCAGCCTCACCTGCTTCACAGGGTTGTTGTGAGCGTAAACTGGAGGAGGGCAGAATGTAGGAAGCTGCTTCGGGTCCCCCACTGGAGAGAAAAGAGGGAGATAAACGAAGTGAAATTCCACCGTCCGGTTGCTCACGGCGCCTCCAGGAAGTCCAGTCTGTGGCTGTCCAAGAGTTCTGGCAGAAGAAAAATAGATTGGGTTTATATCTCTGCCCTTCACTCGGCGTCTCAGAGCGGCTCACAAACTCCTTTCCCTTCCCCTCCCCACAACAGACACCCAGTGAGGTAGGCGGGGCTGAGAGAGCTCTGAGAGAACTGCTCTTTTTCAAGAACAGCTCTTATCAGAACTACGGCTTGCCCAAGGTCATCCAGCAGCTGCGAGTGGAGGAGTGGGGAATCAAACCCGGTTCTCCCAGATTAGAGTCCATGCATTTAACCACTACACCAGACTGGCAAATTTAACCACAACACCAAACTGGCTTTCCCCCCAGTACCCGTTACTTGACATCCCTATAGTTGAAGCGGTCTGGAATTGGACCTGGAACCTCGCGCATGCTGAGCTCTGCCACTCTGCTGTGAAAACGAACCCACGAAGGTGCCTACACTGAGTCGGAGCTCTGGTCCATCAAGATCGTTTTTGTCTGCTCTGAGGGGCGCTGGCTGTCCAGGGTCTCGCAGCTGAGTCCCTTTAGCAGAGATGCCAAAGACTGAACCTGGGACTTTGTGCATGCAGAGCAGAATAGGAAGGCACCTCGTACTTGTGGTCCCTCTTGCGCTGTATCACATGCTCTGGCTTGCAGTGGCCCTCTCCCAGCACCTGAGATTCTTCTAGCTGGATGTGCCAGGGTTTAAACCAGAGATGTCAAACTCATTTGTTACTAGGGCCAGATCTGACATAAATATCACTTTGTCAGGCCGGGCCATGTGTGCCATAAAATGTAATGTGAGGTACCGGAGATAGAAACTGTATAAAGGACAGCAGCTGGTAAGCTCCGAGTTGGTGTATCCTCACTACAAGGCCCCATGGGGGTTGCAGAGGAAAACCCACATAGGCGGACTGGAGAGGCAGCAGTGAAGCGCTGAGCAGATGCTCCCACGCTGCTTTACTGCTGCAGAGGAGGTTGTTCTGTCGTGCCGAAGCCACAATTGGAGGGGCTCCCCCCACTCCCCCCCCCCAAGCAGTCTCCTGTTCCCTCCCTTGCACTAGTTGCTCGCAGACTGCATAAGAGCCCTGGACGGGCCAGTTCTGGCCCCCGGGCCTTATGTTTGACACCCCTGGTTTAAACCTTGTAGCAAGTAAAGCATGTGCTCTGCTTTGCCTGGGTGTGAGCATATGCTCTGCACTGAACCAGACTGCTGGTCTCTTTGTTCCCAGTGTTGCTGGGTTCTCCAGGGCCTCAGGCAAGGGTCTCCCCCCACCATGCCATACGTGTAGTTCTTAAACCTGGAGGCTGATGCTGGGCCTTGGCCTTCTGCATTCAAAATGCCACTTGGCTGTGGCCCCCGGCCTCTGCTACCAAAGAGGGACATGGCTGGAGTATCCTGTCTGCATTGGTGAGAGTTCTTAGTTCTGGGTAATACATACCCGGCTCTGATATTTGGGCAGTCTGAATGTGTCTCCAGCCTTTCCCACCTGCTTCTAGTGCCTCTGGGGTTTAGCCATTGACTGCAAATATTTTGCACGGATGAATGAAAGAATGTGGGTTAGAGTTAAGAGTGCTGTCACGGCTCAGGTGGGGTGTCACCGGACGCTGCCACCACTCTGGATTTAGGATCCCTTGAGAAGGCCTAGAGTACCCTCCCAAGACTGTCAGACCTCCCTTTTGGCCACATAATAGGCGTGAGGACCAGGCAGAGTAAACAACAAGGAAAAGGTTTATTTATAGGAGGTCAAACAACAAGGTGCAGAATAATAACAGTAAGTGGGTGAAAAGAAAAGAAATCAAATGCCCTAACGTGTCTAAATATATACTGTCCCTAGCTCACTATCTCAAGTGCCCTTAGACTACTCACCCTTCCCTCAGGATGAGGGTTTCTTCTCCACAGCAGCCTCCCTGGCCCTGTTCCCTGGGAAGAAGAACAGCTTTTCCTCTTGTACCAGTTCTTTTATTCCCCAGCCCTCTTCTTCCCTATCGGTCAAAATCGGTGCCAAAACTTCTCAAGGACTTCTGGGATTTGTAGGTCCAGCTTCCTCCCACTGCTAGCCAGGCTCCCTGGGCCTAGTAGGCCTCTGGTGGCACAGCCCAGATTATGACAAGTACAGATTTTGAATTTTGCTTCAAGGGTCAGTTCAGGCGTGGCAGGTAAAGATCTTTCAGTCTCTGTTCTTCTATCTGTACAATATGGATGGCCCTGCCTCACAAGGCGGTTTTGAAGAGGAGTGAATTGTAAACTGACAGATTGGGCAGCTAAATTACTCTTGCTGGGTTTTCCTTGCTGTGATAGTTTTAGTCCCGTTCCTGTTTGATTTATGATGGTTAAATTGTTTTTATTGTTACCTTATTGATTGCAGGAGGTGGGTGGGAGGGAGACATATGAGAGGTGTCCTATAAATTCCCATAAATAAAGAAAAGGGCATTGAATCACCCAGGCAGGACGCGGCTGAAATAATTTTTTTTAAACAAAACCGTCGTTCGTCTTCCCGCCTCCTAGATAATCCACTTGAAGCGCTTCCAGTTTGTCAACGGTCGCTGGATAAAATCCCAAAAAATCGTCAAGTTTCCCCGTGAGAATTTTGACCCGAGTGCCTTCCTGGTGCCCAGAGATCCCAGCTGCTGGGCGCAGAAGCTGCTGACCCCGCAGGCCGAAGACCTTTCCTTGCCGCAGACCCTGCAGGAGGAGTGTTGGCGGGCAGAGACGCAGAACGCCGGCATGGCAGGAGAGGGCGACGCTCTGACCCGGAGCCCCTCCTCCCTCAACGCTTCGAGCATCTTAAGCAACATCAGAGGTAGGAGGAATGCTGCCCAAACCGTGTCTGTGGTCCCGTATGGGGTGCTAGAGGAACAGACTCCCGATTGGCCCGCACCTGGAACCTCAGTCGGACCAAACATAACTGTTGAGTGAATTATTGTTGTGCTTAATGTTTGAATGCAAAGTCCTCTTGAACATCGACCACCTTGTTAAAATCTACTTAGAAATATATTTCCTGGTTCGGTTCAGTTCAGTTTAGTTTATTGTAATGAGCCATTGGCCGTTACAAAATTGTAAAACACAAATTGTGAACTAACTATAGGTCAGGGTCAGAATATACAAAAATACCAAAGATCATTAACAAAATACAACTAATTTAATGCCGTGGCCTAAATGATGCCCCTTCCCGATGCCACCTTGGAATGCATATTCTTTGCAGTGAGGGCAAATAGTGAAACTTTATAAGAGACATATGCATCAATGTCAGATAACAAAAATGATTTTTTTTCTCCTCAACTGGGTAAGCACTAAGACCAGATAAAATACCTGCTAAAAATTTAGCCCTTGGACTAGAATATAATGGGCAAAAAAGAATATAGTGAGGTAAATCCTCAAGTTCTTAGGTACCACAAATACATAGATGACAGGCCTGGTTGTTTTCTATGAAACTTATGCCCTGATCTCCTGAATATTCTTAGCAGCAGCAGCAGCAGCAGCACCTTTTTCACCTTGCAGGATTGTTGTGGAAATAAAATTGATAAGGGGAGAACCATTTGTGTCAACCTGAGCTCGTTTGAGCAAGGGCAAGAGAGAGAGAGGCAGGATTTCCCACTGTTGGTCTGATCCTGCAGTTAGTTGAGTCATTACTGTTGTTTTTCCCCAATTTTTGTCTAGTTTGCATACCTTTTTGGAGACCCCTTGAATATTTTCCCCAGTAGAACACACACGAAGCTGCCGTCTACCGAATCAGCCCCGTGGTCTATCAGGATCAATATTGTCTACTCAGTCTGGCAGCGGCTCTCCAGGGTATCTCAGGCAGAGGTCCTTTTAACGGAGATGACGGGGATTGAACCTGGGACCTTTTGAATGCCAAGCAGACGCTTTACCACTGAGCCATGCCCCCTCCCTAAAACAACAGGGGCAAGCTCAAACCTATGGTTCCCATACCAAAGACCAGCACCCTGACAACTGGGCCAAGTTAGCAGAATGGTGACCCCCTAGGCCCCCTAACCGTGTGTGTGTGTGTTCTTAACCCTGGACGGCTCTGACTGGTCCATTTCAGCCCCTTTACGCACTTTCTCTTCCCAGCGTCTCCATCGTCCGGAAGGAAATGCACGGCAGGCTGCCCATCGAGTAAGATCATTAGCCCGACTGGCAGCCCGAGGACTTTGGGGAAAGGCAAGGGGCGCCTTCGGCTTCCTCAGCTGTATAAAAACAAACTGTCCGGTAGCAAAGAGAACTTGGACGCTGGGCACGAGAACGGCACCGATCCGGACCAGAAGGTCACCCCCGAGCAAGGAGACGGCCTGGGCCGGGGGCAGGCTCTCGGGGGCAGCCAGGGCGAACTCTTTGCCGCTCAGGACCACGAAGTGACTTTGCCCAACGGCTGCCTTTGCACACGGAACTCGCACAGCAACGGCAGCCTCAATGGTCAGCTGGAGACCTGCGGGGAGGAGGAGCTTGGGAACGACCAAAGAGAAGGCTGTGATAACCCCATCTACAACCTATATGCAATCTCGGTAGGTGTGTCCTCCGCACAGGCGTCACCGTGGTGCCCAAATGCCCGGGGGGTTCATAGAATGGTCATGGGGGGGGGAGATCTCTGCCATTACGCAGCCACAGACAGGGCAGGGATGGGTTCGGTGACTGGCCAAAAAGGCAAGTAAGCAAGCGCCAGAGGGAATACGTTCATACCGTTAAACTATCTTCCTCTGAACCGGCCGGTCTGCCGAGCCCCCGCTGAGGGTGGGTGTTTCCCTGCCATTCCCGCCACCAATAAGCTGGCCAGACTTACCAGCACTGGGGGGAGGCCTAGCCCCGTGTGGCAGTTCTGGTGCGTAATGGAAATGATGCCGTCACCTCACTGGTGACATGGGACGCTCTGGTATTTTGGCAAAACAGCTATGGTAGAAGTTGTTTTTTGCCCAAATACCAGAGCACCCTGCATTGCCGGTGACATTGCTGCGGCACCAGGCTACACTTCCCCCACTGCTGGTAAGCCTCTCACCCCTGCCCTACCAGTTATCAGGGTTACCTGGCAGTCCTGTGAACCAGCAAGGAGGGAGCACCTTTTGCCAGGACTCACAGCGGGTAATGCAGGCCATGTGTATTTAATATGTCCCCTGAGGACTCCAGCGTAGCTCTTATCTGTCTGATGAAGCTGCAGAATTTGCCTTCTGGAAAGGAGGGGAACCTTAGTCTACATCAAAGAGATGACTGACTTTGGTGCCTGATGCACTGGAAATGAGGAACAGATGATGTGGAAGGGCAGTGTCATCTCCCTCGTTCCTAACCTCTTCCATTCAAGCCTCCAGTTGAGCCCCTTGCTGCCCCTACTGCTGGTGTGTTGTGTTCATGAGCCGCGGGCTGCATCAGCGCAAACCTTCCAGAAGCACCTTTTGACCCAGGAGAACTCGGTCACCGTCTTCCCCATCGAGGCATCCATCTGAGAGCAGTGACTAAACCTGCCTTTCCGTTCCAGTTTTTAGCTTCTGTTTTCTGTTCTGTTTTTTTGAGCCTTACGCTGGCTCCTCTGTTTGTCTGCCAAAAAGCAGCGGCTGTCCTCCATCATAAACAGCCGTAGCAGCAAGTGCCAGCCCCCTCTGGCACGGTTGGCAGTTTGCAGAGGAGCTCCAGGGGCCTTGGAAAGGCTTCACTTCTCATCCACTGACTTGGGAGCAGGGGCAACGTAAGTCTGGCCGGGACCCTCTGGCATGTCCAGGGTTGCCTCAAACTCTCTCTGCTCTTCGTGGCACCCCCACCGTCCCTTTGTGTGCAGAGTTGCCATGAGAGTGCTGAAATGTGGCAGTGGGTCCAGAATCCAGTTTGGAGGGAGACCTGGCTTTTGTTAAAAAAGGAGTTTCTAGCCCTCAGGGCTGTGAAAGGTACGCCAGAAAACGTGGGCAGAAGCCAGTGGTACTCGGCTGAGTCAGATACTGGGGTGAAGGTCCAGGGGTCCATACAGCTCCTTCCCTTTCCCTGCAAGTAACAGAACCCAAGTAAATGAAGCAGAATGCGCATACACATAAACTGGTTGCTCTTGTCACGGAGTTCAGCTTTCTGGGGAATGAACGGCCACATCCACGTGGCCCCGGCTACTGTGGCAAGTAGATGCTTTGTTGCCTCAAGTGGGAGTGAGAGGATACCCATAGTGGACAGCTTCGTGTATTCAGATGTTGCAAGCAAGCTTTTGTGTCACCCTGAGCCCTTCTTCACGGTGGCCTTGCTAAGGGTGGCCATCATTCACTTTGCTGGTTTTCAGAACCAGGAGGCCTGTCTCCTTTTTTCTTTTGCCATCAAATCACGGTTGACTTATGGCAACCCTGTAGGGTTTCCAAGGCAAGAGATGTTCAGAGGCGGTTTTCCTTTGCCTGCCTCTGCGTCACAACCCTGGACTTCATTTGGGGTCTCCCATCCAAATACTAGGCCGGGCTGACCCTGCTGAGCTTCCGAGATCTGACAAGATCGGGCGAGCCGGGGCCGTTCAGATCAGGGCCAGCGATCAGGGCTGTCCTCGACCAGAGCCAGGGCTTTCTCTGCCCCGGTTCCAGCCTGGTGGAACTCTCTGCTGGGTGACATCCACTCCCTGTGGGATATATTACAATTCCGCAAGGCGTACAAGGCAGAGATGTTCTGCCAGGCATTTGGTTGAGGACAGCAACGGTCCTGTCTTGGCACTCCCATCCTCCTCCCCCCATGAGACAGCGGCACTGTTAGGATTTTAGAGGTTAAGATGCTGAGCCGCAGACCGGAAGGCCCGTAGCTCAGCAGTTCGAGACCCGAGTGCCGCATGACGGAGTGAGCTCCGGCCTCTGGTCCCAGCTCCTGCCAGCCTAGCAGTTTGAAAGCAAGAAACTGCAAGTAGATAAATAGGTACCGCTTTGGTGGGAAGGTAACAGCGTTCCGTGCGCCTTGGCGTGTAGTCATGCCGGCCACATGACCACGGACAGCGCTGGCTCTTCAGCTTGGAAATGGAGATGAGCACCGCCCCCTAGAGTCGGATTCAACTGGCTTTCAAGCAAGGGAAACCTTTACCTTTTACTATAGCTAATTTGATGACTGGATTGATCTGGATGTTTTACGGCTTTATTCTGTTTCCAAATTGTTTTATGCAGAGTTTTATCTGGTTATGTGGTACAGTCCTACTGGGGAGGGCGGCTAATAAACTCAATAAATACTAATAAAGAAATATCGAAATTGTGCCACAGATCGCCAGCTTTTAGGTGTCATCCAGGACACAGTGAGAAGGCTGCCGAATGTGTACTACTTTGGTGGGCAGAGTACTGTAGGTATCCCGTAGATGTACGTCGCAGTGTGCCAAAGGTCATACTGAGGGCTGTAAAAAAAAACCAAAAGATACAATCTGCAATGGATGAAAAAATGAGCAGAAAAGTCAAAATGTAGTACGTCCAAGACTGTATATTTTTGCAGTTCTGTGACTATCACCTTAACCAGAGGAGGTATGATCGGGTGCCTTAATTTGGTGTAGTGTGGTGTAGTGGTTAAGTGCGCAGACTCTAATCTGGGAGAACTGGGTTTGATTCCCCACTCCTCCACTTGCAGCTGCTGGATGACCTTGGGCAAGACGTAGTTCTGATAAGAGCTGTTATCTCAAGGACAGTTCCGGAAAGAGCTCTCTCAGCCCCGCCTACCCGTTGTGTCTGTGCTGGGGATGGGAAGGTAAAGGAGTTTGTAAGCCACTCTGAGACTCTGAGTGAAGGACGGGGTATAAATCCAATCCCCCCCCCTTCTTCTTCCAAATTTCTAATCCTTGAGATTCCAGGGATGGGCTTTGAATGTGTGTCGGTAACACTTGGCGAAATCTCGGAGGGGTGGACCATATTCCGTGTGGCCAGTGGCTCAGCTTTCCTCACTTGCATAGTCTCATATTCTCTCCCTCCCTCTCTCTTCGAGTCGAACAGTCCAGTGCACAGCAGCTCTGCCTGCAGCCCCTCGTGGGTCTTGCACAATCTTTCGGAGGCATCGAATGGATGTCACATATCCAGCAGGGCTCTTCTTACCTTCGTTCCTATCATTAAAGGCAAATTCCACCTCATAGGGCATAAAAGCTGCATTAGAAGCTTCAAATCTGAAAGCACATGGGGCGGAGTTTGGTGAAGTCCAATGTGGGGGGGGGGGTCTTCCCTTTTTCTAACTCAGGCCTTTCTTTTCCCAGTGCCATTCAGGAATTATGGGAGGAGGTCACTATGTCACTTATGCCAAAAACCCAAACGACAAGTGGTACTGTTACAATGACAGCAGCTGTAAGGTAAGCGCTTCCTTTCCCCAGAGAAGATCTCAAGGTGGTCATGATGGATTTTGCACCCAAGAGGGGTTTTGGAGACTGGACACCTCTAGAGTAGTACAACTCCAGCATCTATTCATTGAGCAAGACTGGGGGCTTCCACCTGACGCTTGGCTTCCCAGTGCTGTTCAACTGACGGAGTGGCCTGACCTCAGGGTGCCCCAGGCCTTGTGGTTTCCTGGCCTGTGCTGCTCTTTTGCAAAAAGTTGGGGAGGGAAGCAGAAAAGTCCTGTGCCAGGTTGGTGTAGTGGTTAAGTGCGCGGACTCTAATCTGGGAGACCCGGGTTTGATTCCCCACTCCTCCACTTGCACCTGGCTGGATGACCTTGGGCAAGCCATAGTTCTGACAAGAGCTGTCCTTGAAAAAGAGCCATTTCTGTCAGAGCTCTCTCAGCCCCACCGACCTCACAGGGTGTCTGTTGTGGGGAGGGGGAGGGAAAGGAGTCTGTAAGCCACTCTGAGACACCTTTGGGTAGTGAAGGGCGGGGTATAAATCCAATCTCTTCTTCTTCTTCTATGCAGACCAAATTTGTTTTTGGGGGGTGCCTGGTGGAGAAAGTCAAGATGGCGCCCCCATTGATAAATGTTTCCTGATCGTTCAGACATCACCAACACGGTTTAATCCTTGTTTAGACTTCCCCATTAGTGGGAAGAAAACCCCAGTTTGTCACAACACCCAGATGAAGATGTTGTTAACAAACCAGAGTTAGCTGGTAGACTTCCTAAACCAGCAAGTCTTGAATCTTGGCTCGGCCTGTGGAAACAAGCCTGGTTATGTCGAGGACATTTGAATAATTAACACATGAAGTTGCCATTCTCCATACCAACCAAAAAGGAGCTGAAAAAGGTTGCCCCTAGACCAGATCTTTTTTGGGGGGTGGGGGTGGGGGGATATCTAGAGAATCTCTGTGTCCTTGACAGGCAGAACAAATTTAGAGTCCCGTGCAATGCTCCCTCTAAGCTGTGGAGTCATGTGAGCAAAACTTTGTGAGCAACTGGCATTAAAGTTGTGAGTGAGCGATTCGGCTACTGTATAAACTAGTTTGCTCTGGAGCCATCCCTTCCCGAGCGAAGACAAACATCTTTGACCCGGAGGCTAAAAAACTGTGAGCTAGCTCACACTAACTCAGCTGAGAGGGAACACTGGTCCCGTGGCACCTTTAAGGCCAACAACCTTTGTTGGTCTTAAAGGTGCCAGGGGACTCTAAATTTGTTCTGCTGCTTCAGACCAGCACGGCTGACTACCTGGCTCTACTTGACAGGCAGTCCAGGTATGCAGAAAAATGTGACTTTCTAAAAGTAGCCAAAAGAGAAGCGGGAAGTGGGGGGAGCGGAAGGTGGCCTGGGTGTGCTCCAGGAGGCACAAAATATTGAGAGCAGTTGAAGGGAAGGTGAGCAATCAGCTCAGAGAATCCCGAAGGGCAAGATTTTGAGGGGTGGGTTTTCCAAATTCGTCCCTTTCCCCCTTGCTGTTCTCCAGCTGGCAGACCTATAATAAGGGTCCACCTTTTTGGTACCCTGTCTGCCGCGTCAGCTGGGACTCCCCGCTCAAAGAGGTTCAGCCCTGTGCAGAACGAACCACGTCTCATGGGTAGTGGTTAAGTGCGTGGACTCTAATCTGGGAGAACCAGGTTTGATTCCCCACTACTCCACTTGCAGATGCTGGTGTAACTTTGGGTCAGTCACAAGTTCCGTCAGAGCCATTCTCGTAAGAGCAGTTCTCGAGAGAGAGCTCTCTCAGCCCCACCTACCTCACAGGGCGTCTGTTGTGGGGAGGGGAAGGGAAAGGAGATTGTAAGACGCTCTGAGACTCCTTTGGGTAGTGAAGGGCGGGGTATAAATCCAATCTCCTCCTCCTCCTCCTCCTCCTCCTTCTTCCCCGGCAAGGCCCAGGCTGAATGAAAGGGCTCCCTTCAGAATGACTGGGGAGGGCAGGTTAGAAGGCCTGACTAAGAAGGCCGCACATATGACAATTATCCGGCATAATCTTAATTTTTAGGAGAGTTGCATTTTTTAAGTGAAGGTTTTTATTGTGAGGAGGAAGAAAAAAACCCTCTGTGTCCCTTCTTCCAGGAACTGAATCCCGACGAAATTGACACGGACTCCGCCTACATCCTTTTCTATGAGCAGCAGGGGGTGGACTATGCACAGTTTCTGCCAAAGATCGATGGCAAGAACATGGCGGACACGAGCAGCATGGACGAGGACTTTGAGTCGGACTACAAAAAGTACTGTGTTCTGCAGTGAGGGGGGGGGGGGGCTTCCCGAAGGCCTTGTCTCCAGTCGCATGGAAAGTCGGTTTTGGCCGAGTGGAAGAGCTAAATGTAGTTTTTATTTTCTTTATTTTTCCTCTTGTGATCTGAAAGCACAACTAGAGAGACAGAGAGACAAAAGAACAAAAGAAATCCTAATTAAATAGCAGTTCACGTCATGCGATGGCATCGGTTTCGTTCAGATCTCTCGCTGCGCGTGCCCGAAAACGTTTGTCAGCTTTTTCTTTTGTTGTTGTTTTTTTAAACTCGCCTTTGGCCTGTAAACTAGCTTGATGTCATCAAGCTAGGACCAAATTAGTTAGATTTTAAATAACCTTAAAGAAGAGCTGACCCAGCGCAACATCAAGGTTTTGTTTTTAACAAATTACTCCTAGGAAAAGGGAAAATAAAAGGCTCTGTTTAGCTTCAAGACAATTAACACATAGTGTTGTCTGCTGACGACACGCAGTGGCTACCTCCTGTTTCTGAAGTTTTATCCCATTTTTGTGGCCAGATGGGGATGGCGATGTTCGTTCATGTGGACAAAAGCTGCAGCCGGGTTGGGGAATGTCTCCCCCCCCCTTTCATTTTTCCAGCTTTCTGGTTTCTTCCTCTGGCAGAACGTTCTTGATGTCTGGGCTGGGCAGTGTCTCTGCAGGAGCGGCCAGAAGGATCTTCTTTCTCATCTTAGCTGCTTCAGGAACCTTGGAGTTGTGCCGGGAGGGAAGGGAAGAAGTGAATGATTATCTGCATTGATAATCTAAAGCTCCAAGGGAAAAGGTGTGTGTCATGGTCTGCTTCTAATGAAGGATTTTTCTATTCACTTTACATTCAGACTGCATGTAGCAGGCATTCCCTGACATCCATGTGAGAGGTTGCCCCTTGAAGGCGCTAGCACTGTCGCCACTGTTACATTACATTCTTGTGCCCATGACGACGAAGATTTTCCTTGCTTTCAAAACTGTTGGTCACATCACACTGGTGGGGTAATGATGCTGTCTAGCCACAGTTCAGAGATTGGGAGGTGGGATCGCATTCTGCCTCTTCCCCCGTCCCTCCCCTCTAAGCGGAACTCCTTTCAGACCCACTTTTCAAAACCTGGCTAGTGCCGATGCAACATTTCGCCACAGTCACAGTGGATGGGGGAAATGGGGGGGGGGGGAAGAGTGTGAGGTTTTAGGGCACATTCCGGACTGTGGAACCGTGACTCGGAGTCGGCCAGTGTTGCTCCTTCATCAGCCTTGAGGTGCAAGAAAATACCCCAGATTTGCCTTTTAAATGACAATTTTTAATTGCACTTTTAAAATAGTAGAAAGCAAAGAGAACCCTTACCTGAAACATAGTTAAAGGGTTTAAAAATAAATGAGTACATCATTTCCAGTTTAAGGGGTAAGAAATTTTGTCAGACCATGGATAAACCTGAACAGGATTCAATCTGGCAGTGAAATGGGTCACTTGTTTTTCAGGAGGAGAAGTGGGGGGGCACTTTTTTACTATAATTAACCTTATGTGTTAATTTGCAAAGAAAAAGAACAATCTAACATATAGCAACCAGCTTTGTTGTTCAGATAAATGTCTGGCCATTGCCTTGCAGGAGTAAATGGGGAAAGAGGCTGAGTTAAAGTTTCTTATTACAAGGGAAAGCTGCGCAGAAGACTTTTAATTCCCCCAAGTGGCTGTCCCCAAATCTTCCCCCAAAGTCCATAGAGAACAAGTCATGTCCCAACACTTTGGGGGCGGTTCCCCAAGCACCTTTTTGGAAACTGTAAGGACTTGATCCGTTAATTCTCTTACTCCATTCTTTTACAAAACACACACAGTTTATTGAATAGGGTTACTCATGAGCCAGGTGGTCCTGGGAGGATTACAGAGGATTACAGTTTCTTACTTTGTGGCGCTCCTGACTGAGAGATGGTCGGGCTAAGTGTCATGTTGAAAACTGGAGCAAGGGTCTGAGGTGACTAATTGTGTCTGGACTGGCCCGTAAGACTACAGGCGGGTGCTCGTGCGGTCAAACGCTTCTCCCTGCAAAAACACAGTTCTCCTCTACAAAAAAATGCTTCCGTCAGGGAAGGCTTAATGAGGTAGGAGCGTTTCTGGAGGTAGGAGGTGAATTAGCAGCCTGAAGCCGTGCAACCCCAGACACAGATTAGCCCTCTGGGTGAGGATTAAGTCAAAGTGATGTTACTTCCTATTCTTTTCATGCCCGGTGTGTGCACGCACATCTTTCCAAAGCAAGAGCACCGAGCTTTCCTGCATTGAGGCGAAGGGCTTTGCTGTCCAACCTGCGCCTCAGTAGAGTTTGCACATTTTTCCTTAGGAAGTTAATTTCTTCTTCACACATCATGTTAATTTTAACTGCTCTTTCTTGATGGAGTGGGAGGGATGGATCTCTGCTAGTGCCCACCTGATCTTTACAGACACCGGGCCCATTGAGGTCTGCAGTGTCTTGTCTGTCCCTGAATTTTTAGGCATTGCTTAGTTTTACTGTGTGTTTTTTTAAACAAACCTACGAATCACAGTCCTCTGGTTTTAAGGCCCAGTTTGGACACTTCGCAAACAGGTGCTACGACTCACATAAGGATGAGCTTGCACCCCTTTCTTCCACTGCCAAAGCAATATAAGGTGTGGTCAGGGACTTCAGGTCAGATGTTGGACCCTACGTGGGTCCACCATGATGTGCTTTGCTGGACTCCTTGTCCTCAAAGCAGGGGCAGGGGGGAGGAGGGGTGATGTGATACCACACCTTGCCCTGATAGGTCTTCTAGAGGTACCCTTTCCCCTTGACTGTCAAACTTCCATTAGGTATGGTGAAGGTTTGGGCACTCACCTCTGGTCCCTTCCACCGCGTGTGTGGAACCAGCGCATGGATAAGTTTCTGAGCCACCCTTCGTTAGCAGTGCTGTGTCCTTTCCTTTCAGGAGCTAAATTGGGCTCTCATCCAGACACCAGTCTCTCTCTCTCTCTCTCTCTCTCTCTCTCTCTCTCTCTCTCTCTCCCTCCCCCCCCCCCCCCCCCCCCCCCCCACAGATGCCACGCCTCAGTCAGACACTTTCTAACATCAGTTGCAAGTTTAGTTAACGGGTGCAAACTGTTGAATCTCTGGGTGCAACCCTTGCTGATCTCATTGCCGCTTGGGTGGGAGCTCTCCCAGTGGGAGGAAATTATTCTCAGATTGGTTTGACCCCCCGTTACTGGTTTCTCCCCAACAACTATGGGGTTGGGGGAAAATCCAGCCATTATTATTTTTTCTTTAATGGTGGGATTTCTCAGTCCAAAATGACACTGAGACTCCCTTCCATCCCTTGGTGAGTTCCTCTTCCAAACACAGTCTTCAGATTTCATTTATTTTCAAATGTATTCTCCTCCTCCACCCTCTTTTTCATTTAAGCAGGTAGCTTGACCTGACTAATGTCATTTTAATCTGTCATGCTTTTGTTACGTGGGTTGTAATATTTTTTAAATTAAATTAATTCCTAAATTAGCAGGAAAATTTATTAAGTTAACTATTAACCACGTTCACTTTGTAAATTATTGTATAAAACGTATTGACGATGCACTGAATTTAGAGAGACCCTGTACATAAGTATCATGTAAATAAATTAAAAGCTTAAGTATTAATGTATTGAGATATGAACTGTACAAAAGAGAGAGTACAAGTTAACTGTATATGGAGTGAACCCGTTTATCTGTACCTATATTATTCAAGCAAATTAAATACTGTGGATGCAGTTGCAGTGTGATATCCCAGTTCCTCTGCAGAATTTTTCTCTAGAAACCGTGATGAGTCTTGTGGCTTCTTAATGACATTTATTGTGTGGTCAGAACCCACTTTGTCCAGAAAATCGTTACCCTCGACTCCCGTTTGATTTTTAGCCTGCCCTTCCTTCCTGGTGCTGAAGAGCACACATGGGGGCTCTTCCCTCTGTCATCACAAGAACCCTCTGAAGGAGGAGGTAAGGCGGAGTGAGTGTCCGACTCATGGTCCCCCAGCTGGCTTGGTGGTGGACTGGGGATTTAGTGTTGTCCGTCCAAGTCTGGTGCTCTGACTACTACATCACATGAGCTATCTCAGATACAAGTGGAGGAGAGATAACGTACAAGGAAAGGAGATCCGGATGTTGGCAGGAGAGGTCTGTGATGTTCCTCTGCAGAGCGAAATGATCCCAGCACAAACAGATAACTTCTGTAAATAAAGAAGCACCTTAAGCCTATCTCAGTGGATTCTGGAATCTGAGCTCAATCACATGGAGCTGTAACTCTGCGGCAGGTGAATGTGGAAAGAAGAAGTAGAGATTGGATTTATACCCCGCCCTTCACTTGGAGTCTCAGAGCGGCTTACAAACGCCTTTCCCTTCCCCTCCCCACAACAGACAGCCTGTGAGGTGGGTGGGGCCAAGAGAGCTCTTTCCAGAACTGTCCTTGAAAGAACAGCTCTGACAAAACTATAGCTTGCCCAAGGTCATCCAGCAGCTGCAAGTGGAGGAATGGGGAATCAAACTCGGTTCTCCCAGATTTGAGTCCGCTCACTTTAACCACTACACCAAACTCTGGAAAGTGGTCAAGTTGCAGCCAATTTATGGCGATCCTATAGGGTTTTCAAGACAAGAGGCATTCCAAGGTGGTTTGCCATTGCCTGCCTCTGCGTAGTGTCCCTGGACTTCCTTGGTGGCCTCCCATCCAAGCACTCACCAGGGCCAGCCCTGCTTAGCTTTCAAGAACTGATGTGATCAGGCTAGCCTGCCCTCATCCAGAGGCCTTTCATTAAACTTTCTGCCACAGTCAAGATGTGCTGTTGGGTTAAATGTAGAAAAAAATCATTTGCCTCGGAAGCACAGAAGCATTTTTCACAGTTTTCCCAATCCTCCACATTTCCCAGTTAATAGAAAAATGCTGTTCAGACAAATTACAAAGAGAAAGAAATTTTACTTACAAAAATAGAAGCACTTCTTACATGACATATTCATGTAGGTATGTTTAATCTATTGGGAACAGATTAAGAACATAAGAGAAGCCAATGTTGGATCAGGCCAGTGGCCCATCCAGTCCAACACTCTGTGTCACACAGTGGCCAGAAATACCAGTGCCATCAGGAGGTCCACCAGTGGGGCCAGGACACTAGAAGCCCTCCCACTGTTGCCCCCCCCCAAAAGCACCAAAAATACAGAGCATCCCTTGCTCCAAAAGTTTAACAGATTAGAGCTCCAAGTCCATGTAAGAAATAAAAGAAGAGAGGTCCCAGCTATATATATAAAAGAAAGTCCCCACACCGTAAAATCAACACCCAGGCCAAACTGCTGGACCTAGAACCACGAAATTCGGGCACTCCTATCATGGCATAGATGCTCACTAAGAAGGTTTTTTTAGAAATTCGACCGCTAATAGGGTCAAAAGGGGCAAAATGTGCTCCCCCCCATTAATTCAGTTCAGTTCGATTCAGTTGTTGACCTTTATTGGCATAAACCATTGATTCTTATGTGGCTGCCAGGCTGCTGCCTCCTTGCACCTCCCACTCTCTGATTGGTCAACTACTGAGCTCAGTGTTCTGAGGATTTAAAAAAAAAACAGTTACAGGAGACTGCAGAGAGCTAATGACAGTTGAGGAAATCAGGAATGGCCGGCAACCACCTGTGAGGTGCAGTAATGCTGCTTGCCCAGCCTCTCTGATGGCTTCCAACACACTCACCTCCTACTCCTAACAGGCGGTTGTCTGTCAGGTGCAGCAGTGGTTGCAGGGTGCTTAAAGCCCCGAGGGAGCCCACCCCAGCAGTAACGCCTTAGTGACCCTGCCAGCCCCGCCTCCACAGTGGCTTCTAATACTCCTCCCCCTCCTACACTGGACAGGCAGCTGCCTGTCAGGTGTAGGAGAGGAGGTGGGATGCTTACGGCCGCCTTAGCCCTGCTGCTGGCCCAGCCTCCCCGATGCCTTTAAATACAATCCCCCCCAACACCAGACAAGCTGATGTCTGTCAGGTGTAGGAGCAGGGCCAGGGTACTTTAATCCATCAGGGACTTTAGTGATGCTGCTGGCCCAGCTTAGTCACACTCCCACCCACAATGGAAATATACCCCATGTCGGTTCTAGAAAATTGGTTCATATGAACTTGCTTAGTATCTGATTGCTCGGATGGTGTTTTGAATATGTAGTTATGTCCCAGTTCTAAAATGTAACATAAATAAGAAGCATTTTTGTTAAAAAAAAAAAGTGGTGGTGGTGATATGCTCTCCCCCCTAAATTCAGTGCCCAGGCCAAACCCCTGCACCAAGAAACCCAAAATAAGAGGAGTGCATTCCTACCATGATGTCAAACCCCCCCCCCCGACCCC